AGCCACCACAAGGAGCACACCAGGAAGGCAACCCAGCAGAAGATCCTGAAGGCCAAGGTGAAGGCACTGGACACCTCTAAGACCGCCCAGAAACGTCGCAAGCTCGAAGCCATTGCAAATGAGCAGAAGAGAATCGAAGAAGGACCGAGCTGGAGAGTTCAAGGTGACATTGAGACACCACAGACAATTCTTTTGAGGAAAGAAGCTCAAGTAATAGAAAAGTGGACTTGAAATTTCGAACGAGTTTTTCTCAGTTCATCTTTTTGGCAGCAAATCCCACCTTAATAAAGCTATCGTTTCGGTATGAAACTACCGCGAGACTTAATATTTGCGGATTATATGCCGAAATTTTATCAAGCCAGTTACTATGAACTTAGATTTTGCATTTTCATGTTCCTTTATTATGAAAAATTGTAACTTGCAAAACTTGGTAAATGTAAAAAAAAAAAAAGTTTCATAAACTTTTTTTACCTGTAAAATGCATATTTTGTCAAATTTCTTTTCATAGTAACCGGCAACAAGTATTCCAGTATGCATTCCACCAGAAAGATATGTGGTGATCGACAGCATTTTTCAATGATAGATTCATTGAGCAGATTCCATGCAAAGCTATATTTTGCTTCGTTCCAAATGTATAGAACCTCACAAAATTGGTTCACAGGGCTGAAACTTTGCATGCCCTCCTTCTATACACGAACTCAACTCTGTTACGTCACGGCGCGGTGGTGGCGCGTCGGGCACACTTCCAGTCTGGGGCTGTGGGCAGAAGTCCCCATACGAGACGTGTATTCCTGCTTTGTTTTGAAAGGAACCAGACAGAAACCTGCCTTCTCGTCAAAACACCACGATTGGGGCTGTACCAAAAGAGTCAAGAAAGGTTTGAAGGTCAGTTTTCACGTGCTCGGTTCGTCCGAGAACTTTGATATGTGTCGTGAAAAGGGAAAAACAGATGCCGTCAGACCACGAATGCTTGGGCGGGAAGCACTTTGGGTTGAATTCACGGATACTTGTGGTCATCAGATCTATTTGTTTTGTTCCAACATGAACGCGGGAAAGCCGTCAAGTTGCACGGACCACCTGCGGACTACGTTCAGTGTGTCTTCAAGTTCAAACGGCCGCCTGATCGTTCAAACTGTCGTCTGCTCTTTCAAACGTTTCTGCTTGTCAACTGCTCTTTTAGACGACACCGGCCCATAGACCAAACGTGGGCCCGGTACTTGCGATAAAAAGTAGGGGCAGGCCTCAAAAGACTCGTTTTAAGGTTGGTAAGCAGGCTTGATGTAAACAGTAGATACAAGGAGATGTTGATCATTGTTACCAGTGGCCATCACAGACTTGTTACGCCTAATTCACTTGGTCCGATTCTGCTTGCGATTTTGAGTATTGACATCGACCATCTCAGCTACGGTTCACACTTTTGCAGCCTGAGCGACGTCGCGACTGAAAATTGCGAGCGAAATCTGATCATGCGAATCAGGCTTTAGCGTCCATTCTGCGGCGTCCAGGCGGAATGAATCGCTGCAGGTCACATTATTCACGCAAAGTTTCGCGGTGTAACAAGCCTCGGTAATTTTGCTGAGGCCACTCAAATAGTCAGGCATTGCCAGGGAGACTAGAATCAACAATTTGAACGCGAAAAAGGCCAGGGGGACTCACACCGATGCCGACAACATCACTTTCCAATGGATCTAAGGTATTAATCAACACTAAACACATTTCTTCCACTTTCCTCTGCAACATATTCTCTCAATCTCTTAAACTCTCTCAAGTTCCATTTGATTGGAAAGTTGCTAACCTCATACCCGTTCATAAAACAGGCGATCGCCAACTAATCAGCAACTATTGTTCCATCTCGCTCACCAGCGTTTCATGCAAACTCTTGAAGCATATTCTCTATTCTAACATGATAAACTTTCTAGACTCTCATAACCTCCTTTTCAAGCACCAGCACGGATTTTGCAAGTTCTACTCATGCGAAACTCAGCTAAAAACATTTCTAACTCACGTTTACTCAAATTTTGATTCCAATGTTCAAACTGACGCCATCTTCATTGACTTCTCCAAAGCATTTGACAAGGTCCCTCACCAACGTCTTTTAATCAAACTAAGAGATATTAATCTTCACCCTTCTGTAGTCAATTGGATTTCTGAATTCCTCACTAATCGCACTCAGTACACTTCTATTAACAATATAAAATCTACCACAAGCACAGTAACGTCTGGCGTCCCTCAGGAAACCGTTCTTGGACCCCTTTTTTTTAATCTACATAAATGATCTCCACCATGGCATCACTTCTGAAGTATGTTTGTTCGCCGATGACTGTGTCATTTATAGATTGACTCATTCACGCCACGATCAACTAATTTTGCAGAATGATCTCCAACTTATATTTCAGTGGTGTTATAAATGGCAAATGGCTTTATCGCTATCTTTTCCCCGCAGTTCATATGTTCTATCCTCCTCTTACCACCTTTCTGACATCCCAGTAACTGCTTGTTCATTATATAAATATCTAGGAATTCATCCGACATTTGACCTGTCATGGACCACTTACATAATATCTGTCATCGCCGATGCTAACCGCACTCTCGGATTTCTTCGCCGTAACCTCACACAAGCTACATCCCCCGTAAAGCAACTAGCTTATATACTACCTTGGTCAGAACTAAACTAGAATTCGCTTCTTCCATATGGTCACCGTGGCAGGCATACCTAACTAACAACCTGGAATCCGTTCAAAGGCAGAACCCTCCGTTTTATTTATTCCGACTATTATTCCCCTTACGCAAGCATATCAGGGTTTCGCCAATCAGCTAACCTTGACACTCTTTCTCACCGCTGCAGGGTGTCTCGTCTTTCTCTTCTTCATCGGATCTTTTATTACAACAGTCATCTCAGACAAAGTTTGTTATCCCCTCTTTACCGCATTTTCCCTTGTCTCGACCATTCTTGTAAACTCCGTCCGATTTCATCGTCAACCGTCACTCACATGGCTACTTTACCATTGGCGACTGGAACTCACTGCCTGACGTAATTGTTTCCTTATCTGACACTAAGAAATTTTCTGCAGACATTAGTTTATTTTTTCTAACCCATAACTAGATTACAGCGTGTTTCTGTAGATAAATAGTGTTATTTTTTTTTTTTTTAAGTCTTCACTCCCTTGTATAATGCCCCCCAAGCCTTCAAGGAATAATAAATGATGATGATGATGATCATCATTGTTTATGGGCGACGGCGAGCTTCTTGCCCACACTCCATCGCGCCTGCACGGCGCCGGTGGCGTCCGCTAGGGGCGCTCCGGTTTGTTTGTAAACATGAGTTAGCGTATATGGCTACAAACACCCGCCGCAAATTTCACACCGATTGAGTGAGCGGTTCATAATTAGACATGCCCAGGTAGTGTTCCCCCTTAAGGACGGTGACTACAAGTCGGTAGGTACCAGTTTTACCGACTACTTTACACACTGAAAGGGAATGGGCAAACCTGCTATGTGGGCATTGGTGCAAAGTCACCGACAGTGTGACAGCCGAGACTGATGACGACGATGAGCCGCCTCGAGACCCCGCTCTAGGGGAAGTGATACAGTTGCTGGATGTAAGGACGGGGATTCTGAGGATGTGCTGGTTCAGGTCATTTATCTTGAAAATAAGACCTTTGGCACTGCTAATTACCGAACACAACAGTTCCGCTTCAATGACTACTTCGGGTGACCTCTTCGACTACTTCTTTCGAATAAAAATGCTTAATTCGAGATTCAAAGCTTTGCTCAAGATTTTTGTCTTTTTTTTTGTTCTTCTAATAGTTTGATAATGTATTTAATTTGCATATTTTTCGCCGTCCGACCGACACTGAATTAACAAGATTTTATCGTATATATAGAACAGGGGTCTCGAACTCATTTGAGTGTGGGGGCCAGATAGGATGCTCCCGAAAGGTTGAGGGCCAACCAGGGGGGGGGGGGGGGCGTGCCAGCATTTTGTAATTTGGGACAAAGGGGAAGAGCAATGTTTCACGTTGCAAAGCAGCAGACTCTCCCAGAGAAACGAGATTTTCTAGAGAAGGGTCCTCGTGATTTCTGCTATTTGCCAGTTACCCGTTTTGTGAGTACACATATAACTTTTTGCCCACGGCAGATGCATTAAAAAAATTTGAAACGCCAACATTCTGGCACTTTTTAGTAAAACCAGATCAAGGACACTCTTGTTACCCTGTCTCAAAATTCCCTTGGGTGGACAGGCGTGGGTATTTAACTCTTCATACGGCAGATTTTACTTTCCTGAGCATTTTTATAGCAGCATACTCGGGATTTATAAGGTATATTTGATGTAGTAAAATACTCGTATTTTAAAGGTATATTTAATGGCTAGAAGCCCGAGCTCATAGCTTTATCTTTAGCAGTCGCTCCTGCTGAGCGTGACTTTGTACAGACAAGGTGCCTGCTTGAGCAAAGAACTCGTACTCGCATCCTGGTAGTGATATTGTCGTTCCGGTTTATTTACACGAGAAAGGGCAGAAAAACAAATATTTGAACGAAGCAATACTCAGTCCAAAAGAAAAAAAATTGTGCGAAATCTCTGACCACGTTACATGAGCGAGCTCCTTGTTGAGAGGCGATGAATCGACCACATAAAAGTATAATTTACGGCGCATGTAGCACTCGAGCCATGGGAAGGGGGATTGCGGCCGGGGATGCTTGAGGGCCGCATCCCAGAGAGCTGCAAGCCGCATGCGGCCCGCGTGTTTGAGACCCCTGGTATAGAATGCACCAGGTGGTAAAGTTCGATACAAATGCAAAGGTGCCTATACTTTTACGTCAAATATTCGAGGAGACGTTCCGACTGTTTGAAATAGACACTATTTTGAAATACCCGGTTTCACTTGAGACTGGGTCAACTTCTCGACGAAACAAAAAAAAAATGTTGCGAAACACTTTTGCCAAGTCCTGTAATAGATGCAAATCTGATACAAATTGTAAGCACAAGAACAAGAACTTACCACAAGATGTGTTGATGACGTCCCGCAATTCAGAGTACTTCCATTTCGACAGATCAAACTTCCCTTCGGCCTTTGCTCCCCTCACTTGAGACCTGCAAAGGTTCCAAATGAATGTTTGTATGACTTGTTACAAAAGCAGACACGGTAATACAGAATAGAAAACAAGTCTTGGCCAGATGCCACAATACCCACCTCACGGGAAGCACAGGGGTGCCCACATCTTCCACGACACTGTTGTTCTCTTGTGCCAGACGCAAGGCCAGTTCATGGTCACGTGACTCTTGCTCCATTTGCTGGTTCCTGAATGGGTAGGTAAAATACAGCTCAAGTAATGACTTTATGAACTGATACAGTCAAAGTCAGCTGAATATGCATGCCACGAGTCCGTATCTTGAGACAATTTCCTCCGCGACAAGAGGCAAAAACGACTGATGCGCCGTTAAATTGGTAAACAAATACAATGATGAGAAAGCTCACCTCAGTAGTTCCTCCCTGTGATCGATGACAAGCTTTTCTTTCATGGCTTTCTGTAAAAAAAAGCTTCACCTTAAAATCATAAAGCATCAAAAAACATTCTCTAAAAAGCTAAAACAAATTTATGGAAAATTACTAGGTAATTGTGTTGCATGCAGGAAATCTTCTAGCATCCCTAATGTTTAGCGATACTCAGAGTTTCCAGACGCCAACATTCACAGCACTCTTTATCAAATAGTTCAACACAAACCATGTGTACTCTTGATAGTTGTTCCTAGAATGAAGCAATGCTGCCGCTAATCCGGCTGATAAACCTGGCGATCTTCCAGAGCATTCCATACTCGAGTTCATCTCCCTCAGTGTGTACAGGTGGTTGAGCTCCTCCTCACCTATTTCTCTGGTCACATGACCTCCCCAGTAACCAATAAGAGTCGAACACATCACTCCCCTCTACCACCCATCGACTGATCAGTGCCGAGCATCGCGTCCAGGCTTTTATCTAGGCTTCACGAAATGCTGAACACCTAGCCAAAAGAATGTTACGCATTAATATAACGCAACAACCTTATTTTTTTTCACAACGATCATCAGAAAGGCTTCTGCTTAATTAAGCAAGTTAAAAATCTAGCACTTCTTCTTAAAAGATGACCAAATAACACTTCACTATAATAAGTAATGAAGGAAAAAAAACCTCAACTCTCACCGCCAGCTTGGCATCCTCCAGCTCCTTCGCTCGTTCCTCAGCTTTCCTCGCTGCCTCCATTTGAATTTTTCTAAAAAAAAAAAAAAAAAAGCGAGAAGCAAAACAATTGTTTTAAAGAAACTTGCCAAGTGTGTATCTGTGTCTGCTACTAAACAAAATAAGGCAAAGTACCTAGCATAATCTGTTTTACCATATTGGCGAACGGCAAAAGCTACGATCCCAGTGAGTCAACCAGAGCATCATGCAATACTCCTGCAGAGAGCCGTCACATGAGTCACTTCATCGCTCCATTTAGTTCAAGGAGGCTGGAGCATTCCCCTTTTGCCAAGTTATGCTGAGAAAGAGTATGAGTTAAGTTAAGGAGGGACACTGGCTAGAGATTTAACTCCTGAACTACTCAAGTGATCGGAGTGAAATTTGCGGGGGAGATTTAACGTCAGATGTAGGCATACCGTGCAAACTTTCGGTTCTAGGACAACTTTACATCCCTGCATAAGAAGATGTGTCACTCTTCATTAAGAAATCTATGATATGCAAATGAAGCTGTTAAGCACCATTTTCACTGCTATAATATATGGAACTTCAGGCTATCTAGTTTTTATAACTCAAATGTAAAAATTTAAGGAAAAGTGATTACCTCAAAATACGCGATGCATAACTTTCCTATGTAAATTTTTTAAAACATAGTTTTTTTTCTCAATGAGGACTTTAACTTAAAACAAAATAAAGTAGATAGCCCGATTCCCCAGTAAATTTCAGTTCAGAAACATTTTGATTGCGGTATCAGAATACTTTTTTACTAGGGGTGTGCAAATACCGAATAGTAGTTTTCAAATCGAATACCGAATCGAATCAAGAAAAAAAAGCCGAATATCGAATCGAATATCGAATAGTGATTTTATTTGTAGGAATTTTTCAAAGTGTACTGAGAATGAGATTATTATATGTGCAGAGTATGCTCCAGTGGCTGAATATGCATCTTGTACAGAACAAAAGCTAAAATGTAAAAAAATTAAAAAAGTAAAAGCAGTTGCTGTTGGGCACTAAGATCCAATTTTATGGCACAATATAATCTAGGTACCATAAACGTCACAAAAAACAAAAAAGTTACAGCCACGCACATCTTTTTCTTGTTAAAAGTACAACCTAACACCGCGACCTTTTTTTTGATAAATATTTCTATATCTCAAAAAAGGGCATTTTGCGATATTTGGTTTCCATTTTAAGAAAGAAAAAGGGCACCCGGGATTTTATTTAACATAAATAAACAGATAGGTGTTAAATCCGAGTAAACAGGCTAAAACAGTATAATCTGAAGTAAGAAAAAAAAACGTGGTTATGTGGCGCAAGACACCGTCCAACTGCCGCTATGCATTCAATTTTCCGTCTACCTATCGTGTTTTAGAGAGCCTTGATTTGAAAGAGGGAGTAAGCGAAACAAACCACGGAGACGGCTCCAGCTCAGATTGGTCGTAAGTGCGCATGTGTTGTGCTGTCGCGTGAAAAAAGGCGAGCAAACAGAAGGCTGCCTGATCCCGATCGACGCTTTCGTCTTTTCGTCACCTTCTCGCAGTCGCAGTTCGTAATTCAAACGCGGCTATCGAACGGTTGGAAAACCTCTCAAATCTAGGCACACTATTTTTCCGTTCCGTTTCGTTCCGAATCAGAATTTGCGGCTTGCGGTTTCATCGGCGTGGTTGACGTGGTTTTCTTTCTGTGCCGCACTCACAACAATCGGCAGTCGCCGATTGTTGTGAGTGCGGCAAGCGTGTTTTACATCGGTGCTTCAATTTGAAACGAGGGGCTTTACTCGTGAAAAGAATTAGGCATGGCGCGGGATTCCGGCCTCCCAACAATTCCTCTCTGGAAGTGGCGCAAACGGGATGTTTCGGTTGTGATTCAAGGGTAGAATGTGGCACGATCGTGAGTAAATCTGCGTGCTATAAAGTTGGTGGCGTTCGTTACTTTTCTTTTTTCTAACCTGTGCGTTAGATTTTTGTGGAATGGTAGGACCAAGAGCTGCTTTTCGCATAGTCTGTCTAACATCACGGCGCTTACATCGGGAGAAAAAAAGGCTTTTTTGTAAGCTCCGCGCCGACCGCGCGTCTTTGGCCGAATATATTGAATATTCGAGTGACCGAATACGTACTAGGAATTTGATTTGAGAATTGAATTATTCGGGAACTTTCTATTCGATTCGAATTCGTATATTCGAGTATTCGCACACCCCTATTTTTTACCTTTGAACAAAAGATTCCTTCGTATGAAATTTGCAGCAAAAAGTGGAACTGTGAAAAATGCATTCAAACATTGAACTCCTTTAGCTTGTTACTGCCTCTAATGTGTTGAAAATTGTTTATATCAAAGTAACTATTTGGTGTATACTTATCAAATTTAATGTCGGGGTGTATAACTAATTTCTAAAACCGAAAACCTCAAAATTAAAAAAAATTAATTTTTGCTTGAAAAAATTTGAAATTTAAAGTTGCTATTGCACCCTCACTACGGCCAGGCACTATTCCCGACTCCAGCGAACTATAGGAGGCGCGCTGGTCAGGCAAAATGGAAAACGAAAAGGAGGTCCTTTTCGTCGTTCAGCACGGAGACCACCATAAATTTCTTGCACTGCAGCGTAAAATCAATGTGATATATGAAAGCAAAAGCAATTTTTCAATGGTAAAAACCTTCTAGAGAGTGCGTAGGAATATCGTGGTGGAAGCATAAAATAAGTTACTGGAAACAATGTTTGTTTCTATGCTGCCTACGAGAACCAAGCCGCGATAGCAGACAACAGTCGAAACGACCCCTCTCCAGAGCTTCTCAACGTTGCCACTACGTGGTGTCGATTTCGCTGGAGTCACCAATACCTTTGTGGTATGCAGATACATAGTCCGCTATAGAGGATGCTGCATATTGATCAAGGGCACTGCCATAATGAAAACATCGTGCTGGCATACTATAACTCGTCATGGCTACTGCCTTTCCCAGTTGGTCTGCGGGGCGACTCAATGCTGTAGAACAGGGGTTCTCAAACTTTATGGTCTCACGGAACCCCAGGAAGCCTCAAATACGGTCGCGGAACCCTCCCCCCTCCCCCCCCCTCCATATTTGCCCACCGAAAAGCAACAGATGCACAATTGTAGACAATTTTGTTTGTGTTGCTTCCCATATATCCCCACCATATCAATTGCAATGTCAGTACAAAGTGAGATGAAGGCGCTTTGCATGGTCCTGCTGCGCAGCCAGCGGTATGGGGGGTGGGGGGAGGAGAGGGGGGTTGCAATATGGGTGTTCTTGGAACCCATGAGACCAGCTCGTGGAACCCCTGTGTTCCGCGGAACCCAGTTTGAGAACCCCTGCAGTGTAGAAGTTTACCTGGTGCATTTTTAACTTGTATTCAACTGCTGTAAAACACTTCATTTTCGCGGCTCCTATTTTTCGTGAATCGGTCACGGAGGACATAATCACGGTCATAAAATTTTACGAATTCTAGATGCCTACATTGAAATTCGCAAAAAATAAGGGCTCATGAACATTAAGGGTTTTACGGTATTGGCAAGGAAATAAAACTATGGGGGTGCGCTTTGTCCGGTTTATTTTCAACAGAACTCGGTGTTTACTCAACGCAAGGCCTGTGGACTGGATACGTTCCACCATCTGCGCCGACTGAGCATGGGCGAAAAAAGATTGGCGCTTTTCTTGCGTTTCTGGCATAGCTGAACGCCACGGCAGAAACGCAAGACCAATTCATGTTGTTCCCCGAGGCGTAGTTTGCCACTTTGCCGCCAAGGACGCAACAGTTGTATCTCTAATAGCGCATGCTCCGTTACTAGTGGCCAGCTGTAGGATGGCCGAGGCGCCCACCTCTGGCGGTGCTCCTCCTCCTCCCTCCTCTGCCGCTCCTCCTCCTCCTTCCTCTTGCGTGCCAGCTCCATCTCCTGCTGCACCCTGCGCATGCGCGCCTGCTCCTCGGCCACCTTCTGCAGCTGGATGCGCTGGTTCAGGGCGTTCATCAGCTCTGTGGCCGCCAGGATCAGGGTGTTGTGCTCCTTCTCCATCTCTGGGTTCTTCAGGGCCCCGTCCTGCGACGAAGAGAGAAGAGACATCATGAGCTACCTTTTTTTTGGTTGTTTGCAATGTCACGGCCGTGCAAAGAAGTGCGACTTGTATAACAACTTTTCCACGAAAACGGCTCAATATACGGATGTGCGACTTATACAAGGGTGCAAATTATAGTCCGGAAAATACAGTATTAGAAGCTATTGTGCAAAGCATGCAACAGTAGGCATAGCCGACTGCAACAAACAGTGACAATTAAATGTCTAAGACTCACCTTGATGCGCTTCATGGCGGTGTTAATCCTGCCTTCCAGGGCTTGAATTTCCACCTTGCTCTGCTGCCCGTCTTTTTTCAGCTGCGAGGCCAGGTTGGACATCTGCTGCACTTGCTTCAGGAGTGCCCTCAGCTTCATCATGCACCGGTATCTGTTGCAGATAAAACAAAGGACACCAGAACATCTTGAATGTAGACAAAAGGCAAATCAGTGTCTTGTCAAACACATATTACCAAAATAGGTAGAGTTGTGTACAAAGAGAGGCATATGTATAACAGCGGCAGAATATAAACGGATAAAAGGAATAAAAAAAGAAGAAATGGCCGCAGAAACCACTACTGTTGGTTGTCTATGAATTGTGATAGCATTCGTCATGAGACTCATGAAACAGCACAAAGCTGATCTAGTTAACAATGGTTACCCAAAGCGGTTCATTAACGACATCTACAAACGCCTACGCCACCCCCCTTTGACTCTGACCTCGAGACCGTCTAATCGGATCTGTCTCCCTTATGTGAAGAATGTGAGTGAGACCGTCGGACGCGTCCTTCGGAAACACGGCATCGCCGTCTCCCACAAGCCCGTGTCTACCATCCGTCGGCGGCTTCCTCTCCCCAAAGACAGACCAGGAAGGGAAAGGGCTCAAGGCCTCGTGTACCGCGTGCCGTGCGCGGATTGCCCGGTCGCTTATGTGGGGGAAACGAAAAACTTTCTGGATCGTATTCGACGACACAAATACGACGTAAGAAAGAAAGATATTGAGGCCAGCGCCCTGGCAGAGCACGAGCAAAAAACTGGGCACTCTTTCTCCCTCGACGAGACCCAGATCGTGGCCACCGAGGGACATTGGAGGAAACGCCTTCATCTAGAGTCCTGGTTTATCCAAACAACGAGTAAGAACGTGAACCGGTCCAAGGGCACTCTCCCGAGCGCGTACGTGTCTGGACTTCGCGCCCTCTGGGGTAAGCCTTAGCAAGGTCAAACGCCCGGGCAACCTTTCACACCGCGCCCCCTCCCCCGTGCCATCTGGGTTAAGCCTCAGCAAGGCCAACCACCTGGGCAACCTTCCCCACCGCGCCCCCACCTACAGTCACCCGTGACCAAGGGACCGAGCGGGTCCCGAAACGTCGGGTTTATGTGTTTTTTAAATAAAACTTTGGTTAGAGTCCGCAAAAACTTTGTCGATTTCTCCCTAACCAGACAGACCTCTGTCGAAAATGTTTACGTTTAAATCTCACTGTGAATATCACAATGCAAATTTTGAAAACCCTATTTTATGAGTTCAATTTTTTTGCGAAATTTAGCGGGGAAACTGAATTGGTGCATAGGTCACGTGGCGTCAATTAGGAGGCCAGAAAGGTCCACGAAATCGGAGGAAGGGGAAGGGGTAGCTAAAAAATGCTACCTCCTTAAAACTAAAACAAAGCTTATTTGAAGAAACGGGTTCCCTAATTCCAAAAAATAAACAAGGTATGAGCATACCTATCAAGCCTCCCAATGAAAATATATTGCCTACCTGGGCCTGTACTTCTTTTTCACCAGGTGCATCTTCACCGTTTTCTGGATGACCACGAGGTTTTCACGACGGTAGGTTATCTTATTTCTCACTGCAAGGACAAAAAGCACCGGAAATATTTCGAACCAACTAGAGAGCAAATAAGCCGTTTTATGCAAAACAAATTATACACCGACCACAGTGTAAGATATATACACCGTAAAATACTAATCATCTCCCCATTCCAAAATAAGTGCCTACCCCTCTATTTTGTAACCGCTCCAAAAATTTGGAGATAATTAACATATTTACTTGAGTAATAGGCGCACTATTTATGAAGAAAACCTGAGGGTTCGCTTTTCCACGGAGCACGCAAATTGCCAATCACTGCGATCGACAGCATGATTCCAGCTGTTTACAGGACAGAGATAACGTCTTCGTGCAAAGATACCACCTGAGAAGATTGCATTTGTATGGAAAATCGTCTTTTTGATCTGGTTATTCGCTGTGTTATTTATGTGGAACGCAATGATTGGCTGTATATCTGTTGTGTGGAAAAGTAGACGCAAGGGCCTTGTTCATAAATAGTGTGGCTGTTGCTTGAGTAAATAGGGTATGTTAAACTGAATATCTCCGAAAGTTAAAAAAAAGGTAACTGGATATTTTTTTAAATTTAGAGACAATCATGTATAACTGGGGGATGGGCACGTTGGCCTAAGAGGGCCCCAGTTTTACACAATTTCAATTACCGACCGGTTTTTCAGATACCGATAATTCGGACTCGTTCGATATATCGGACCTAAAAGAGGAACCGTGACCTACCCGATAGAAATGGTGCATACAGTCTAAGCTCGTTATAACAGGCCTTGATTTTGACCAAGATTTCGGTCTGCTATAGAAGGAGTATGTTGTATGCAGATATGAAGTTGAGTCAATGGTGCATAGAGGAAAACCAACCGAACCTCACAAATCTGTATGTTATATCCAAATATCTGTTGTAACCAGGTCTGTTACAGTGTTGCGGAATGGGCACCCCCATTCCTTTCCAATTCCATTCCGGGGAATTAGAGTTTTCGATAATTCCATTCCTTTCAACTCCTAGGAATGGGGACACTGGACCCATTCCCACTTCTGGAATGGCTGAATCGTTCCATTCCATTCCTCCAATTCCTAAACGTTAAAAGTGTCACTTGACAGCTCTATTACGTTGCAGGGTTGGGCAGAAATATTCAGAAATGTATTTGGAAATACAAATACTGGGATAGATGAAAATAGTTGCTAAGGTACTGATACTCAAGTTTCAAATATATCTATAAAAATGTATCGTGATATATATCGGAAATACATTTTAAAAAGAGGCAAAAAGTCTTTGGATATACAAATACAAGAATACATTTTAGGGAGGGCAGAAATATAAATGCTGATAATACATTTTTCAAATTTGACGCCAACTGAGATGAGGCTTTAAGTTTGAAGTGGAAGTTGTTTTTTTTTTTTTTTGGTCCCGAAATTACTTTTCCGCAGGCTTGGCACTTCGCCTTGAAGGTAGTGGTTCCGGGCGAAGAGTCCTCAATGGGTAACGTTCCATCAAGGATTGACCGCGGTCCCTTCCCTGGCATCCTGTCCGACTGACCTGTGATGCGAAAAGACTTCGACCTTATGGCGCACCGTGAATTCACGAGGGCGCCCATCAAACCATTCGGCCAATCTTGGCCGCGACACGATCACATGGTCGTGTTGCCGCGGGGTCAATCGGGATCTCGAATTCGGCTCCCGACGCGCCGCTTTCTCTCCTAGCCACTGGAGGGCGCTGCAGGCGCCCCCGTGGCAGGCGAGGAGAAACCTCCTCGCCCATCGATAGATATATACTCGGTGGGGCAGGGGGCGAGAGGCCTCTAAGAACTCCGGACGAGACCGAGACGCAGGCAGGCAAGTGGGTGGCGACCGGATCTAGGATATCGCGGGACGCGAGGCCTAAGGGCCTCCTTTGTGTTTAGCTTTAGCCTGAACGTGCATTTGTAAATAATTGTGTAATGTAGCTTGTATTTGTAGTTTAGATTGAGTGTTTTGTAGTGTTGTATTTTATTGTACGAATAAACGGGGAGCGGAATCCCGCTCCCGTGAAAGAACCAGGCTGGACTCGGTTTGTTGACGGACCACGTGGGAAATGGCGAATCGGCGGCGGTACGCGATTTCCTACAACCTCTAAAATAAATTCCATCAAAACATCACCACTCCCCTGTCCAATAAGGGCGCCCCTGTCAGCACTGATCACATGACGTCACGGTGGGATGAACTAGTATTCTTGAATCCGTAGGTGTTGCCTTGAACATGAAACTCTACCCACTCTGCTGTATGAAAGGACAATACATACTTCCGTTGTAACTGACCTCGTTGAAAACCGTGCAGGCAGTTGCATTTGGAATTTTCGAGAAAAGTGGACCACCTGAAGCAACCTGAAGCACATGTATCATCTTCCGTTACGGTTGAAAAATCGATACGGTGGCATCCCTGTTGTGACGGTCCTTCCTGCCGACTCTCCACCTCCAACGCATGAATGGCAGTCTTCAAATTTCGCCTAGCATCATTCAAACAGAGACCTCGTGGATTGCGACCTGAGATGGCCGGCACAGGTGCGAGCTCTTCGAGAAACAGCGCGCTAGAGACGAGTCGAAAGTGTACGAAGTCTGGGTTCGCACAGCGAGGCCACGTCTGGCCTCCTTTCTGGGTATCGGATCACCACAGCAGCAGGTCACGTTCACGTCGACTGATCACGTACCAGCCGTGCAATATTACAGGCGCAGACGCATTCGGGTATGTGTTAAATTTCACTGGTGAAAGGCGCCACCGCCGCCCCCCCCCCCCCCCCCCCCCCCCCCCTCCGCTGCTCCTTCTGTTCTTTGCTTTGACGCTTGTTTTTTGTATTGCATTTTTTTCTTTTGCGCATAAGTCTGCTAGGGCCTTACGCGGGTTTGCAGTTTCCCGCTCATTTTGTTTCTGAACAACCGACTCTCTGACTGGCTCGGTATAGCTGAACGTAAAAAATAAATAAATAAATAAAATATAAAGAACCTGGCCCATTCCATTCCCATTCCATTCCGGGCGAAAGGCATCTAATTCCATTCCCATTCCATTCCCCTCAACGCTGCCGCCATTCCATTCCCATTCCATTCCGGGGTCGCAAAAATGCGGAATGATTCCGGAATCATTCCAACTCCGGAGTGGCAACTCCGCAACACTGGTCTGTTATAATGAGCTTAGACTCTATTCACAAACAATGTTTCGGACAGCTTGAACTCCAAAAGTTAGAATTTTCGGAGAAAATTGTCACGAGTGATCAGCGGGCAACACCACCGAGAAGCGGCCATTTTGAATTCTATGTTGGCTAAACATGGATTGGCTTGGTTTGGCAGCGCTACTTGAGTACTGCTAAGTCCTACTGCTAGGTGACGCTGCACGGCTTTTTATTCTCTAGCTGTGCGCCATTATCATCATCATTGTTGTTACCATTTTGCTTTGTTCATGCGCCATCGCAATCGTGGACTTGCACCTCTCATCTCGTCTTAGTGAACAGTGTTTTCAGACAGTGCTGGTGTGGTCATCATTGCCCCATCTGTTCTTCTGCCGCCGCGGTGTGCAGCTAAGCAGTGCAGAAAGTACTAGATCATAACGCTAGAGAAGAAGGCAGTGATTCTCACGCTAATAGGAAGTTGCCGAACGCGAACGGAGGCGTAACCTGAAGCAAGGCGCGCAGGCGTAACCTGTAGCAAGGCGCTATTTACGGCTTTTTTACATAAAGTGCCGTTTACACGTAATAAAGGCAAGTTTTTAGTCTTCTGATTTTTCAGACCTCTATTATTTGAACGATTTTTTTGGTCCCTGCTAAATGTGAAAAATATTTCAAAATTTTGAGTGGGCGCTGGCTTGGGATTTTACGGTAGGTGAGGACACACAGCATGGCAAACGTTGCAATACGGTCGACCAGATAAAGTCCTTTTAGCTGCGCGCCCGAGTGGCCTTAGCCGACAGTGTCCCCACTGTCCGAACGTCGCAACTGAGAAAAAAGAAAGAAACAACTAAACCAAATAAATGTCTCATTCTGAGCACGAATTGTTTCCGCTCGGAGGCAGAGTGTCTGCTCTGACCTTGACAGATGCCGACTTGGACACCGTGCTAGAGATCTCTCCGCTTCAATGCATTTACAAAACTGTTATTGCCGTTGTTGAGGCACGAAACGGGGGTCAATGACGAAACAGTGTCGAAGCAACACGCGTAGTGCAAGTGCCAAGTTGTATGTGACGTGGCGCACCCAGAAAATGACTTTAAAAAAAGCACGCCTCCCACAAAGAAGCATGGGAAACCGGGCCCGCGACAAGCTGCCATTAGCAGGACATCGAGGAGCCACCTCATGTCACTGATTGCTACCAAGGTAAGGAAGACTTTATCTGGCAGCTGCGATGCGTGCGGTGTCCACACCTATATTTATCTTACGTCGTGATATCAACTCAACTCCCGACGTCATGCCGCTGCGGTGGCGCTGCCGTCGGCACTGCGCATGCGCAAATGCTTCACCTCACGTGAAACTGGTTCTTGTGCCCGCGCGCAGTGCTCACACCTGGTGTTGGCAAACTCAAGATTGTTTGTAAACAGCATGCTGGTGTGTGCTATGGCCAGAACTCTAAAACAAAACTTGAAAGAACATGCCAGTTGTAAGAGATACGAGGCTATACTGCTTTTCTGGGGATGCACAATGACCTGGTCTGGCCAGTACTGATGAATGCTAACGGGGGAGCAGAATGCTCAATTCAAAGGAAGCTTTTTTGCATTATCTAACGCCAACCAGCGGGTATGCTGCTGCAAAGGCGGCAACTGTCTAGTTAGTCTTCAAAACGGCACGTTGAACAATCTCCATGGCCATTACCACGAAACACTAGCACTCAACATTGCACACAAAAAAGAGCCTTACAACAAAGCTAAAATTTAGGGATGGGCGAATATTCGGTTATTAGGAATAGCCAATCGAATTCTGTTCTATTTGACATTCGCTTCAAATCGAATTTAAGTATTCGACAATATCGAATTATTCGACAATATAGAAGTATTTGATTTTTCTAAATACAGTCAAAACCGACTATATCGAACCCGTTTAGATTGAATCATTCCTTATATCAAACAATTTTTGTGCACAGTAATGTTACAGTGATAATATATATACAAAAACTATGGTTGCATCGAACAAAAATTGCAGCCGCTACCAATACATCGAACTGCCGTTTTGCTCTGCAAGCTGGCTTTCCCCCAATGCGGGCATTCGCATTGGGGGAAGCCAGCTTGCAAAGCACGCTGGATTCTTTTTTTTTTTTTTTCCGGGCGGCCGTGTTGGTTGCTTGGAAGAAAAGAAAATATATCTTTTGCGGAGAGAGCGGAGAGAGGGTGCTTTGTGCTCCCTCTCCCCGCTCCGTCCGCAAAAGAGGATACTAGGGAGTTGTAGTAGACCGTCTCCGCAGACCGTTAAGTACCCGGATAGGGCTCCGTAATCCGCCACAAGACCTTGAACTATGCAGACAACGCTGGTGGCACGCATGCGCAGCTGCGGCGTTTTCTTGACGGATATCGTAGCGGAGGAGAAAAACGGTCTACTACAATTCCATATTTTTTTCTCAAATTGTTGCAACCGCCCCCCCCCAAAAAAAAAAGCTTGCTTTGTTGGTTCTTCTTAACGCAGCCACCTGTTTTAGGGGAAAGCCAACCTGCAGAGCAAAACGGCGCTCTGCAGGAGAAGGTGCTCCCGTTGGACGTGCTCTGTGCTCTCGGTATAGTTCGGCGCTAATATAGAAGGCAGCAGCCTCAGCATTTTGGAGTCCGTCGATAGTTTTGAAAAATATTCTTATTGCGAATGCAATGAAGAAAAAGCAGCAGAAGATGCAAGACTACTTCATTGTGTAATACTTCAGCAGAAAGTGGATTTTTGAGAGCCAAATTCATTAAAACTTTTATATTGAATTACCCGCTATATCGAACTGGAAGACGTTTTTTTGCGAGTTCGATATAAACGGGTTTTACTTACTCCGGCTTGGATTTACGGCCAGGTGGCACAAGCTTCCGACCGTTTTGACCCTTTCGTGCTACCGAACTCAATACACTTGAAATTGACAATTACGGTATATCCAATACCAAATAAGGGCAAATATAAAACTATAGTTTAAACATATCTTGTAGTATTTTTTATTCGACCAAAATCACTATTCGCTTCGAATTCGATTCGGACCCAAAATCCTCTATTCACCCATGCCTACTAAAATTATATTGCGACTTGGCTTCTATACTTCACCTTATAATAATAGACCACGAAGGATGCAACAAGTAACTGAAGTCAATCCTGTGAGAGAGTGATGCAACCCACGAAAGGGACGCAGTGACACGTGGAGCTCACGCGATTTATTCGCAGCGCTGGGTTTGCAGCAATGACTCCCAGGTTTCACTGTGGCCCATCATAAGGTGAAACGTAGTATAGCAGTCACAAAGTCACTTCTGGTTTTTCAAACATCTCAAGAAAAGGACCAAGTGGCTTCCGACAAGAGAGAGAGAGAGGGGTGCCCTCACGTTTGATGACGCACAGTGCGCACCACTGTGCCTTCTTCCAGCGGGAGACGAGCAGCCACTTCTGCACCTTGCGCACCAGCGTTGCCAGGTTCTCGGGGTCAGACTTCATGATCTGGTCAAACTCGGCAAACTTGCCTGGCCGGAAGAACACCTTGGTCAGGCCGAAGCGGAAGTCATTCTCGTTCAGGCCCAGTGCCTTGAACAGAGCCTGCAGAGAAAATGGGAGGGTTCAATAAGCATCAATAACAACATCCGTGAACTCAGCTTGGTTCCCATCATGCATGGATTTCAGTTATTGGTAAGAATAGCGCTTGCTGGTGGCCTATCTATGCTGTCGTGCAAGCTCAGAAATTTAACGCTATACTCTGTTTCGCCTTACGTCTGACCTCAGAGGACGCTGCGAGCCATCTTGGCCAATCCAGCTTTGTGAACGTAGCACGTGATATGCTCACTGCCCGTCACTGCACCCTCTCTATAAGGTCATGTAACACTCATACGGCCTTGGATTGGCTCTGATGGCTCATAGCATATGCTGCAGTTCGTCGTAAGATGAAACAGAGTATAGGAAGTACTCCCTTCACCTTAAATATGAGGCAGTACTGCACAGTGACATGAAACATCTGTACTTTATACCAAAACCAGCAACAGTGCAGCTGTGGTGGGAAAAAAAAATCCAGCTTTGTCCACTTCCACTTTTCGTAAACTTGGGAGCTGCCAAGTTAACTACACTTACGAGCATAAAACCATTCATGTTCAGAAGTGGGAAGTCTGAATATTACTAGAGCTTGTGAGCCTTAGGGGTCACAAATATGTCTACTATGCCTGTAATTAAAGTTTTTAAAACAGTACAAGGACTAAACCACTTCTTTTGCCGTCAGTCGATGGGAGCGGGCACAACATGCCCCGAACTGATGATCACACACGACCGGACAAAGGAAGAGTTCTTCTCACGCTGAAAAAGCTGCCTTGCAACCTGACCTGGGACAGTTATGCCTATGCATGAAATATCTGGTGGACATTGGAGAGCAAAAAACAATAAAAGCAAGAAACAAGGCAAAAACTGATGTGTATGCGCGCAAAAAGCCTGAAATCAGCAGGGATAGGCCTAGCATTCAATCTGGCTATGATTAAGACTGTGGAATACTTAAGGCTGGTTGACACATTTGTGTTTGACCGTGTCTGAGAGTGCTGCGTTTTGCTGGAACTGCCAACGTCGAGAGAACGCACTGGCACATTGGCCCCATAGAACTTTTTCAATCAGCGTATTAATTTTTATAATTTTTTACAGATCATTCTTTAACCATGGGCTCGAAATAATTTTGATTGAGCTATACTCCGTTTCATGATAACTTGGCGAACTGTGGAGGCTACGGCCCCCGCTACCCAATAAGTGTGTCGGAGCGAGGCACATGATAGTACCATGTCACGGGAGCGCTTGTGTCACTGCGCCAAATGCAAGGCCCAGTGGCTGTCGCCTGCTGGCCAAGAATTGTCTGCTGCGAAACCAGCCAATTTCGGATGAACGTCCACCGCCGCAACACTGCCATCCGCTAGAGTAGCAAGCTCTTCAGGCAGAGCTCATGAGACAACCATACGCTCAGTTTACCCACAAACCTGTGGCAGGTGCTAATGCCAGGGCTATGTTTTAAGTGGAGGCGGTTGATTACAGGGCTGCGATTGTTCAAATATTGGTCAAAAGCCACATTGCCACCTGGGGATCTTTTGACGTGCAACCGAAAGCTCGGTTACACGGCGCCTTTTCTGCAATAAGCCTCCGTCATATTGCGGGCACCTCGGTCGGGATTCGAACCCGCCACTTGGGGATCCGTAGGCTGGCGCTCTCGCCTCGGAGCCACCGAGGCGGCTTAATAGAGATGCAATCGCTTGGATTCAATTGCTGTTAAAAAAAAGCCTAGAACTCCTTTTTGCCGCAAACGGCGTCGTTGCTGTGGCGGTAAAGAGGCCTCGACCATAGAGTGTTGTCACATGACTTGCTCCGATGCCCTTATTGGGTCGCAGGGGCTGCAGCCTTCATAGTTCGCCAAGTTATCGGGAAGCGGAGTATTTAAGCGATCAATTCTCATAGATAGTGCAAGGATTTGACCTTGCAAGTTCCGCGAAACCTTCAGCCTAGTCACAGGCAATTCCAGGACTACCTCATAATGGTGCAAGTGTCACACCATATTCTCTCTCGTTGCCAGCGGTTACATGAAAACGCAATGCAACCGGGCATAGTCTAACGCAAATGTGTAAACCAGCCTTTAGCAGACTCGTAAACTCCTTCCCCAGACAACACCACCCCCCACCATCCAGAAAGAGGCAGAGTCCCCACCTTGCAGAAGAGCCTGGGGTCCAGCCGTGCCAGCTCGGGGGGCAGGTACTGCTTGTACATGTTGTACAGGTCGGAGAAGGGAGCTCTGGATGGGTAACCCTGCTGCATGAGCTCCAGCACAGACGTCATGCCTGCGGACAAAAGAGGAAGAGCAGGCCTCCTATTGGCTTTCAGTTGTGTTTGTTCGTTTATTGGTGATATCTCGAGACAGCTACTCGCAAGAAAATTACAGGAAGGTCCATTGGTGGATCCTTTGACAATGCGTTAGTATGACCCTTGGAAACGCCACACACATCCCCCTTTGGGAAACGCCAACACTAACCCCTTCACTTTTTAGAGCGCAGTTCTTAGGCACCCGTTTCCGCTCCGGCTTGAGCGGCATCGCCGTCGGCGTAACCGTGCGTTGCATTATGGGACAAACGTCACGAAGGTCACTCGTGAAGGTCGCAACGAAGATCCCAACCTGCACAAGTGACGTCATGAGGGGGAGGAGGAGGGGAGAAGAAAGGGAGGAGGAGCAGGGAGGAGAGGGTACAAAGGAGGAGAATATACCCTCCCCTCCTCCTCCTCAAGAGTTGCGCTCTAATTCAGCATTACAGGGAATATTAAACGTCTCATTTTTTCTTTTGGCTTTCTCTTGCTTTCTCTATTTTTTTTTGCCCTGCTTCTTTTTCACCTTGTTACGGGGTCAGTGTTAGCATTTCTCAAAGAAAGACGTGCGTGGCATTTCCCAAGGATCATGCCAACGGAGTCCCCAAAAATCCACCAATGGGTCTTTGCGTAATTTTTTCACCCCTTTTTTGTACTCTGCCTGTCGGAGTACTTCGACGCCCATGGATACGGTCATCCATATCACTCGTGCAAAAAAACTATGTCCATACCATTTGTTTAACTACAGACACACATCACAGCCCACGCACTGCTACTACGAAAACCCTGAGCAAAGAGCAACCGGCGACAGCAGAGCACCCGCATTCCACCGCGCTGCGACACAACACCTCATAGATAACAAAGCTGTTGTGCTGAATGAAATGGTGTCATCAGAGAAGGCCAGCACTGGGCACAGACTGGACACTATGATTGCATCAATGTTCGGCTCAAACTTTACTCGAAGCCGAGCACTGACCCACCACTGACCCAGCACTCGTTTCAAATCTGTGCCCAGTGTTAGATTTTTCTGATTAAGCCATGTCATTCAGCACTACGGCTTTGTTATCTAGGAAATTGCATGGCGCGTCCTCCTTTCTGGTTCCGTGCCAGCTGCGCGTGACTGACGAAAACGAAAGGGCTCGTTTTGACGAAAACCCGGCAGTGTCTGTCAGTTTGTCAGTGCTGGGGAGAGAGGGAGAGGTTGACGCGTGCTCACGTCAGCGCTTCGGACGTATAGAGCGCCGCAAGCAACAAAGACACCGCTGGGTTTTCGTCAAAACGAGCGTTCTAATGCTAACGTATTAAAAAGCACATTAAACATTCTCTAACACCATACAGGGTGTTCTTAAAGCGGTAGCTTTATAGGGCCAACCAACCTCAGGAGCTAAGTAAGCATGAAATGTGTAGGTCGGTCGGTTTGTAACTGTTAAATTATTTCGGAAAAAATTGAAAACCGGTACCAGGGATCGGACCCCGGTCACCGGCGTGGAAGCCAAGTGCACTGCTGACTGAGCTACAGACCCAAGACGCGGGAATGGGGGAAGAAGCAGGTGGTGAGAGAAAGCACGCAGAACGGAGGGGAGTGAAAAAGGCAAGTAGAGGAGCAAAAATAGGTGATGTAGAAAGAGCGCACGAAACAAAGAGTGCAAAGGGCAGGAAAGCGTGCTTCCCCTCTCTTGGTGACCCAGAGAATTTAGCACAAAGGCTTTGTATCTGGGTGTTACTAAAAGGAAGCGCGACCAGTGTCACAAAGAGACAATGGTGTGACGTAATCTGTTTCCACACAAAAGCCCACCCTAGGCACCACTTGAACTAAGAGCACCACCCACCCCAGGCACTGGAAGACTAAAAGGCGATTCACACACTTGCGTTGAGTCGGACCGAGTGCGAGGGTTGCTATGGCAACGGCTGCATCGGCTCCAACGCAGCTGTTGTCATAGCAACCTTCGCACTCGCTCGAATTCAACGCAAGTGTTTGAACCAGCCTTAAAGGGATACTACAACGAAATTTCGGCGCATATTTTTTGGTTTAAACATGTTCAAAGGAGCAGTATCACATCTAACACACCAATATCTTGTTAAAAAAGTCACGAAAAGGAATTTTAAAACAAATTAAACGATTAGCAAAGAGCACCTGGTGGATGTCGCTAACGCCTCGTTTGTAATGCCCGTCTAGGAACCTTGACAGGTAGTGACGGTAACTGTCTCGCCTCCGGCCACGACAAAAGAAAAGAGGAAGGAGGAACTCCACTCTTCCTGAGAATCCCTTTTGTGTAACCCAGAAGTCGCTATTGTCCCCCTACAGGACTATATATAGAGGATTAACCTGTCACTCGAAATTCGTACAAAAGCAGCCGCTTCGGTGGCTGGAACGACTACGACATCCTCTCGACGTCAGCCTCGCCGTAGCTTTGCTCGTCCCGATACGAACTACGTCACGATTGCGTTGGATGCAACGTGCTCTTTGCTGGCTGCTCCCCGAGCGCTTGCCACAGTGAGCCGTTTAAACAAAAAATATAACCACCAGGCTCAAAATACAAACGTGCGATTGTCATTTACGGATATTGTGGATCATTTCTCAACCTATTTTTGAACATGACGGGTATATTTCAAATTTCGTTGAAGTATCCCTTTAAGGGTCATCCTGCCCTAGGCACCACCCAAACTAAGAGCACAACCCACCTTATAAAGCTACCACATTTCAAGACGTTAGGCTAAATGACCAGACATGCAGCCCTATTTTTTTACAAACTTAACAGATTAAAAAAAAACAAAAAAACTATGAGTTTTAGTAAAGTGCTCTGTGCAGACTTGGGGACGTAATAGTAATAGGGGGCCAACTGTTACAATAAATCACATAATTAACTAAAATTGGTTAATTAAATTCTAATAAGTGAAAATAAACATATGGTTCTAAATAGAAACTTGCCAAGCATCATCAAAAACAATTGAATCAGGAAATTTTAAATATAACTTCGAGCATGTGGGAGGCGTTAAAGTTGCCCCTCGTGCAACAAGCGCAAGGTTAGCGATGAAAAAATGCGGATGATTAGATTATCATTCACGTTGCTGATTTGTTTCTGCGGATTACCATTCGCAAAAGAAAAAGCAATGCACTACTCTGGCTCCACCATTTAGGTAGTCTAGGCGTCTCACCCGAGCACTTGAGCTGCGAGAGGATCTGTCCGCCCTCGAAGAGGTGGTCGACCATCTTGAGGTTGGGCTTGATGCAGCGTACGAAGTGGGTGCCCGTCTGCTGCAGCTTGCCCATCAGGGTCTGCAACTGGCTGCGAAACTTGCTGCCCACGCTGATGAAGGACAGCTTTCCCTTGGCCGCCTGCAGGCGCTCGGGATCCCCAAACAGGGTGCGCAGGAACCTGTTCTTGGTCTCGTGCACCAGGCCTTCCAGGGAGGCGTGCAGGGCGTCGTTATTCTTCTCCACAAACTTGGCCTGGAAAATCAGACACAGCAGAGGCTTCAAGTACTAAGGCAAGCATAGTTACGAGGATTTTTGCATCATATAAAAAAGCTAGGCAATGTAGGACGCTAGAAATGCACTTGGAGGCCATTGCAAGACCAGTGACAAGATGAAAAAGCAGCCCATAAAATTACCCACATTGGAAGGTGAATGTGACTTGTTGCTAAAAGCCTTGGTGAGAAGATGGTGCTTCTCAGTGGTAATGGATGCATTTTCAGCTCAGTGCAGTATTTGCAAGATTTTGTGTTTCGTCAAAGTTTTCGAAACACTCTTGTCCCTGTTGATTGAAGGCGGCTGGCTATGCGGGTCAATTCATGTGTGACTGAAGTATGGAAATGGGATTGCAAAATACTAAGACAGAGAAGTTGGCAGAGAGTTTGTTTAAAAACATCAATGCAGGCTCAACAGCTATTGGTCTCCCCTGCCAATTTAAAGGGGCCCTGCAATCATATTTAAGCGTCTACCTTTTTTGGGGTTTCCATGTCTCTTGGGGTTCGGGCAAGCCAGCGGGCAAGGAAAGAGAGTAACTAAATATCAGTGCGTCATATTTTAATCAAACGACGCGGAAACCTCCTCCACCGACGAGGGCGACCCGCGATACCGAAAGCGCGCAAAATGTGACGTCTTTGGTCCTGGGCTTACTACTGGTCAGAGCCGCTAAAAGCTTCTTTTTAGTCGAAATACAAAATATAAGTAGCGCGAACCGTTTCAATTATTTATAAAAGTAGTTATTGTTCAGTATTTTAGATGAGAAAAGAAACGAATGCAGTTTATAAAGTACCGAAACAAGAAATGACCCGTCGACATACCCGCCACCAAGCAGTGGAAAAGGTGGCGCATACTAGAAAGGAGTAGTGGGATCAGGCGCCGACACGGAAAGGTCCCGGATGTACGCGGCGGCGCTGCGGTCGTTTACGGAATGGAGGATCCGACCGGCTCCGAGCGTTCTGAAGGCCTTCGGCGAGAAGCATTGCCTTGTGGTTTGGCCGTTTCGCAGTATTGCAGTGCGAAGTGGCACCCATTCTGAACTGATCTTTACCCCGTGTTTGCTGTCGTTTGTGGCCAATGAAGTGTCATGCCGAATTAGAGTTTAATCGCGCAGCAAATGCAATGAGAGCCGCTCTGGCCGCCCGCTGCATACAGCCAATCCAGACATGCTTTAGTGGCGCCCTCTCGCGCCGTCGAACAGTCATGAGCGCTCGATGAGCTCACTACGCCTCCTCTAGTTCACAGCCACTCAAGCAACCAAGGATGTCATGAAGGACGTTAATTTTTGCTTGTTTTTGGAATTTTAATTTGCCTATGACATTTAAAATAAAGCGAATTTTGAGAAAAGAAAAGTTTAATTAAGTTACTACGTTCAGTGCGCTCAGGCGGTGCAAATTAAGAAACAGTAAAAAAGTCCTTGCAGGGCCCCTTTAACACTTAAACATCCCACCTTGGCTGGGGAAGAACTAAATAAAATTCTGCAAGCTTGATCATTCTGACAAAGACTGGTAAGCCCACAATGCGCGATAGGCCTTCCAGGGACGAAGAGAAGGCAGTCTAAACGGCACCGCCTACCGAAGATTTCCTTTCATTTCTGACACACGGCGTGACATGGTGCTGCATGACAGGAAAGTCAAAGCTGTTTGCTGGCTAGAGTGGTGACATCCTTTAGGCGGACAAGTGCCGCCTTTTCGGCCGCAGTCACCATTTTTTCTCTCCCAATGTGCTGAACTCGTACCTGAGAGACCAGTGGATCGGCTTATGCCCGTGAAAATGCAGAATTATGAAGTACTCGTTGAGGTTGGGATAAATCATTCCAAGTAGAGGCTTCCTCGACTCGGTAATGTAACTAAGCATCGCAAATGCAGTCACCTGTACAATGTTTTTGTGTTATAATACGCAGCACCGTAAACGAACGCATACCGTTAAATTATTAGAGAATGCCCGCTCCCGAAAGATTGCTCATCCCGTTTTTCTGTCTAAATATCTGCAACATAAAAATTGTGAAACATCGCCCACCCCCGATTCCCATCGGACGTCACGCAATGTCCGACGGGAATCGCATCAACTGCGCAATTAGCTGTACCGGCACGTCTGACGAGCGAGTTTATGGCGGGTTCCCGCATTATTTTTCCACAATCTGCGCGCGCAATATTGGCTCCCGTAACACGCAAGCTGCTCCCACATCTATGTTGCACTGTGAAATGCGAATCTGCTGCATGCGCAATCTGTGGTATCCGCTCCCGTGACATAAAGTTTTTAGCGGATTCCCGCGTTTTTGTGTGCGATATGCGTGCACGATCTCGATTTTATGCGAGTTGGTCCCGCGTGTATATTGCATTGTAAAATACGATTTTGCTGCGTTTGTAATCTGCAGTATTTGTTCCGTAACATACGAGTTCGTAGCGGATTCCTGCCCTATTCTCCGCAATCTGCGCGTGCGATATCGGTTCCCGTGACAGACAGATTTGTAGCGGGTTCCCGCGTGTTTATTGCACCATAAAACTTGCATCTGCTGCATTTGCGATTTCCGGTATTCGTTCCCGCGAAATGCGAGTTCTCGGCTTTCCACAGGTCCTTAGTGCCGTGAAACGCAAATCTGCTGCGTCCGCAACCTGCGGTATCCTTTCCCGTGACACAAGAATTTGTAGCGAATTCCCGCGTGCTTATCGCATCGTGACACGCAAATTTGCGGTGTCCGCGATCTGCGGTATCAGTTCCCGCATCACGTGGTTTGTAACCGGTTTTCGATAAAGTTTTGCTCTTGCGTCCCTAAAGATAGCCCACCCCATGTTTTTAACCATTTATCTCATCATTTTGGTTGGGCATTTTTTCGGAACTTTACGGTAGTTGACCGAAGACGCGACATTACATGTCCGTAAAGTTCCCGCATCATTTTATAAGTGGCAACGCTCAATAACCGAGTAAACAACTCGTAAACGGCTGCATGTAAGAGGGAGGCAAGATGGTGGTTTAGCAAGCAGATGATAGATGTCCTCTCCCTGGGAGGGCTGCCAGCTTAGCAACATTAAGGCATCTAGGAAAAGCTGCAAAGCGTGCGCTCATTCGCACGGCACGTGAATGAGCTTTGTTTTGTGTGGTCCGTTGCACCGACCCCAGGTAGCTGAGTTTCCAAAGCACTTGGCTCATACTCCCAAAGTGGCAAGTTCAAATCCTGCAGGGGGACTGAAGTCTCTTTTTATAGGGTTCCCTATGGGCGTAGCACCTTTCGGTGTCGGTTTTTCGTAACAACCGGCCATTACAACCAAACATTATAGAGCTCCACGAAAATTGACTGATAAATCACATCCTGTGTTACTAAAAAGAAAATCCCCAACGAAGACCATGAAAACAGTGAGCAACACAGGGGCAAGAAACGGAAAAGCCCTGACCGTCTCGTAGCAGACGGCTCCAGCAAAGTGCCGCACAAGGAATCCCTCGTCGTCCCTGATTTCCCTGTGGTCCCTGAGCTTTGACTTGCGGGGGACGGCTAGCCGGAAGTGCTTGGGGTGGGTGCTGTGCAGCACGGACGTGAAGTGGCTGTGGCTGGAGCGCGGCAACTTGCTCTCCTCATCCAGCAGGTCGAAGATGCCTGTCCCTTTACCTTCGAGCAAATCTGGTGCAACGAGGGACGACCATCAATTAGGATATTCGTTTGCTCGTCAATGTTACGTTGTGCAGCGGTGGGCACAGTGGCACAGCTTACCGATGCAGTCTTGGTTGTCGACATACTCTATCTTCTTCACACGAAGACCCTCTTTCTCGTAAAGGGCTTGCTCCTGAAATCGGTCATCATGGCTGTAAGCTGCCCTTTGTAATCATATTGTACTCTCAATTCTGGCTACAACCTTCAAATAAATATTCCTACTATTAACCCTTTCTTTATTCTCGACTTCCAGGTACAATCTAATCATAATCAGTTAGCAATTTGCTACAGCGAGAAAACCTAAAAGCAAGTGAGCACTGCATGCACAACTGGAGTACAGTCAAACCCACTTATAACGAACGTGATAGTTATGCGAAAAATGGTCGTTTAATCAGTAGTTTGTTATATCTGGACTTATAAATGAAGCTGGCATTGGTAGTTTCAGTCTACCAGCTCTTTATTTAAAGAAACTGTTTGCACAATTCTAACGCGCCCCCAATTCTAACGCGCACATAGATTTAGCTTCCAGATAATGAAAAAGTAAATTGCTGCCGATTCTACCGAGCAGATTAAATAATGGGAATTGACCACATACCTCATAGAACAGATTTTATGAAACGCATGGCAACACAAAAATAAGTGCAGTGCACTAGTCCAACGATGGTTCTTCGCTGTCCACAGAGGTAATTAGCAATTGCTTTGGTCTAAAGCGTTGTAATGCCGTGCTTCTTGCACATGTACGAGTGCGCGGCCGTCGCCTCTGGCAGCGTCGTCTTTCAAACAACACTTTGCGAGCTCGTCGGGTGGCTGGGATTGCGAGGCCACGTAGTGCTGCTCTGTTGTTATATTTTTCCGCCAGCGTGATGCCCTTTAGTTTAAATAAAACCTCCTGGGAAAGAAGCGCCGATGGAACACGGACCAAGACTAGAATAACGACACAGGGCGCTTATTTCCTTAACACTCTTGGTCCTTGTTCCTTCGGCGCTTATTTTCCATGATGTACCAACTGGCCCATCTAAGCATTTTAGAGCCTCCTATTGGATTTTCTTTTTTTTCTCCCCATCTTAAAACTACAGACACGAGACCGTAAACGCGAGAGAATGTGCATGATATGTATGCCAAAATGGCAAACATAAACAAACCATCACGATGGCGATGGCGCTAGCCACCTTATACCGAGCATTGAGTTTTTCTTGAGTTTGGGTTTTCGGTTTAGATTGTAACACACATGTAGTTTTGGGCACCTTTGAGTGTTCGTTGTAACAGAATGATGCTTTGAAAAGTGGTCGTTTTATTTGGACCGATTTCGATGGGTAGGGCCTTGAATTCATACATTTCCTGAAACCTGGTTGTTATAACCGATAGGTCGTTATATGTGGGATCGTTATAAGTGGGTTTGACTGTATACGACTAATGAGTAAAATAAAATGCACCCCTTGCAAAGGTAACAAAGGTTCAAATAAAGCTGAAAACACCTACTCACCTCTTTCAAAATTCGTTCATTGAAGAACTGCTGCAACTTCTCATTGCAGTAGTTAATACAGAACTGTTCAAAACTGTTCACTTGGAAATACTCTATAAGAAAAAAGATGAAATGCCATCCTGTAACTTTGTATCCATTTACTCACAATGTGAATATGCAGCTAAAACCATAACAATCTTAACATCTAAAGATTCATTTCCCACTACCACACAATTCGGAAAAAAATCTCAGGCCCAACAAGCTGTATTTAGTTCCAATGCATACCCACAATCACTTACCCAAAGCTTCTACTAAAGTTTGACTTTAGTGCAATACATAACATTTCACATTCTGAAGCTCAACCAGAATGACACAGACACATGTGAGCATACCATTGCCATGTTACAGTCATAATTTAAAAAGTTAATAGTAGGTGCTTACCACAAAGTACCAGGAAAGTGCTCACCCCATTTTCACTGAAAACTAGATTAATCTAGACATTGGCGCTTGCCCGGTCATATCGGGCACTTCACATATAATTTGAACAATTCCCAAGTTTGGGAAATGTTAATAGTGGGCGCCTGAACAAAGTAGACACTTCCGCGATATTTTATTCAATACATTCCTTCTTCACTATCAAGCTAATGTCTGATCAAGGGTATAACTGTAATTTGAGCATTGATGTTGGAATATCTCTCTCAAATGGTGGCAAAATGAAGGACTATGTTATATAAAAAAATATTTTTTTTTTATGAAAAAAAAGAAAAAGAAATTAACAGTTTTACAATAGTCTCTTTTATGCAAGTATCCCACACAAGTTATGTCAGAACAGTTTAGCCACCCTCAGTGAGCCACATTCCACTGACATTTGAAGAACACTAATAAAGAAGGTAATCCTTAGCCTGACTTTAGTGCCCATTTACTTGAAATAATAGCTGCACTTTTTATTTAACAGAGCCCTAGAGTCCACTTTCTCACAAATCATCTGGAGAGCCATACATATCACTCTAAAGAAGGAGGAGCCCAGAGAATGATGGGGCAGACAACATTTCTATCTGAGCTGTAGCATGGAGCATGATATGCCACACACCCACAATCTAGCACAGGCCAGACTTCTCAGCACATATGTCTTCCAAGCCTTGCCACTGGATTGACTCATTCCATAGATTGCAGTGCATGGTGATCCCCATGGTACGCAAGGAAAAAAACATACAGGCCCCATTCGGAAATAGTGCAACTGTTACTCTGGTAAATATGGCACGGCATCCAAGCATAACTAAATTTAAGGAATGCATTTAGAACACCTGGTCAATAAACCTACGAGTGAAATAAAAAGCATGATTATGAGCCAACTTCAAGCACATCTGACAGTACAAAATTAGTGCAATCATAAAGTAACTATGGATAAATACCTGCCTGCGAGTATGTCACAAAGAGCAATAGTGAGTTTAACACAACCTTCAGGACGACTAATTACAACCATAAATATAAGTTCAATCCGTTGGAGCAAGCAAATTTAAACAAAAAAACAGTTTCAACATGCATGCAAAACGAAATAAAATGAACAAAAAGTGGGTGAGCCTACCAAATCCGGCAATGTCAAGCACACCAATGTAGTGGGACGAGGAACTGAACGGAATGCTCTGGTTAATGCGTTGCACAATGAAGTCAAAGAGCTTAGAGTAGACCGCCTTGGCAAGTGCGTCTCGTGCATTGTTGGCTTCGTACGCCTTTAGGGGCACCCTGGGGAGAGGTGGGGAAAAAGGGAACATGCAGGCCACCGCAACAACGGCTCATTCCAACAACAAGGCCTCGACAATTGCTGACAAATCAACCATGCAATAGTAAAACAAATCTTTCGCCCATTTCAAATAGAGCAAGACCTGTGTTGTGTGAACAATGGGTGACAATCCCCACCTGATAACAAGTTGACGGAACATTCTCAACAGATTAAGACAATAGAAAACACCGTTCGAAATATTTCTGATATCCGTAATACACAGGCATTGCTGGAATTGGTAACACAATGATACACTTCGTGTGGATGGGACAACTTGCATATTAAACAAAATTAATGCAACCCCTGCATCAGAAAAAGCATGTGAATGCACACTCATGCTACATGCAAAAAGTTCAGTCAAATGTTCAATCAGTTCATTCCTTTCTTTAACATGCAATTCTCTTACAATAGCTTGTCAGAAATGAGGCCACCAACAACATAAGAGTCTGGTGACAAATAGCCAAGTATTTCTAAAAGAAAACGCCTGTCACAGTGAAACCTCTTTAATTAAATCATACACAAATATATAGAATTATTGCTTATATCAAGTCGTTGTCAAACTACTATAAGAATTACACGCGTTTTAATATTTTTATACCAAACTCGGTTGGTTAGCAAAATGGAGCACCATTTTTCTAACCGACCGAGTTTGGCTCCGGAAAGGTACACGCTTTCCGGAGCGCCGGAAAGCGCGCGCTCCGGGACAGGCGGCAGGCTTTCCCGCAACACATCGGAAGATAGCGGTGATGCAGTAGGCGTTTGCGACTCTTACAAGCGCATGTCTATGGCGCCGGGAGCACCATTCGGACTCTGCAGTATATGCAGGCGGCTCGGTTGCTCCGCGACCTGCTCCGATTTGGACGGGGTCAGTGGCTCGATGGACTCGGTCCAGTGTTGTAGGTGCTGTGCTATCGCTCCTTTCATGTGCCGACAAATCCAGCTCCCGCGGTTACGCGATTTTGTTCCTCCATTGCTGCGTCAGCCGCGTGTGGTGTAGTGATGGCGACAGACGTGAAGAAATGTGCGTCGCTGACGTTTGCGACGAAGCTCGAGATTGTTCGCCGCGTCGAAAAGAGAGAAAAGAAGTCTAGTGTTACCAAAGCGTACAACATACTGCAGTGCACTTTGAGACAGAAACAGACAAAAAGCGACGTCAAGTCGAAGGCTGAACAAAGCAAGCACTTCGGCACATGCCGTGTTCAGACAGTGGCCTTCGAAAAAGTGGAAAGATCACTGCACGAACGGTTTATGGATGCGAGGGCTCAGAGCATGACGAGGTCGATGCTTCAAGTGAAAGCAAAGGACCTCGCGTACACCCACCAAGCAGAAAACTTTGCCGCAAGTAGCGGGTGGCAACAATATTTTAAAGCCCCTTACAACGATGCCGGGAAAACGGTCTCGAGAGAAAGCAAGAACGCCAATATGGAGGGCATAAAGAAGTGGCTCGAACAAGAGTGGCCCGAAGTTCCCGCAAAATATGAGCCAAAGCAAATCTTCAAGGCTGATGAGACAGGCCTATTCTGGCAAATGCTTCTGCAACAAACGCTCTGCACCAGCAGGGAGAAAGGTTGCGGTGGTAAGCAAAACAAAGGCCGCATCGCCGTTCTCTCGGCTACCAACATGAATGGCAGCACTGAAGTGCGGCCCCTTGACATCGGCAAGTTTCGGAACACTAGCAACCGCCACGATGTTCCTGCAACATACGCGTGGAACAAGAAGTCATGGATGATGCGCAACATTTTTGAAAAATGGCTTGAGGATTGGGACGTGAAGCTTGCTGACAAGGGTCGCAAGGTGTGCCTCCTTCTTGAAACATAGAGCTCAAGTTCCTGCCGCCAAACACTACGTCAAAACTACAGCTGTTGGGTCGGGGCATGATTCGGGCGTTTGAGGCTATCTATAAGCGAAGACTGATCGAAACGCTGCTCCTCAAGCCAGACAAGGCAAGACCTCAAGATCCACCTTTTAGGTGCCATCCAAATGCTTAAAGCTGCATGAGAAAACGTAAAGTGGGAGACGATCGCCAACTGCTTTAGACACGCCGTGTTTGTCGTCGTTGCTGAAGAACTGTCCGAGGAAGATGGAGTGTCTGACTATTTTGAAGAACCCGCACTCAACGAAACGTGTAGCAAATTTTCACGTTTTGTGGGTGCTGCACTTCAGAGCATGACTGCTAATGATTCCGTCGGCGATGATGACGAAGCGGGGACCATGGCCAAACTAACCGACATGGAAATCGTCGCGGAAGTAACTCGCGAGGTGGCTCTAGAGGAGATGAGCTACTGAACTTGGCCCTTCAAACGCCGAGGACCTTGCTCCACTCCCGACTTCGGGTAAAGCTGTTGCCACCAGGGCGCTTTTATGCCGCTACTGCAGCACAATAGACGGTAGTGGTCAACCGGTGGTGGACTGCTTGGAGATCGTGGAGCAGGTCGTAATAATCTGTGCGGTCAACTCCAAGAAGCAGTCTACGCCACGGCAGTTTTTTTTCGCTGGAATAAATAGTTAATCTTAACGCTTCACTTGAGTAGTCATTTTTGCCGTTAGTTGTTTAGCGATTAAATCGCCCCGCATATGCAACACTTTTTTTGCGAGATTTTATATATTTAATTATTTCACAGTCCTCGCACTGTTCAATATAACGAGGTTCGACTGTATAAACAGCATACATCTACATAATATAATTATATGCTTCTGTCAATTCGCCAAACACAAATGCATGCTGCATGGCCCAGGCGTTTCAGACAAGAGTGGAGAACGGCAAATCACAAGCGCTGACACTGACAATCCAAATAGTAGAAAGAATGTGAAAGAGCAACAGAAGAGCTAAGAAAGACATCAGGCATAAAGTTAGGAATGCTCGTTTAAGTGTACCCCGCTGAAATTATTCAATTGTTCGTCAGTTTTATCTTCCGATGAAAACTGGCATTTTATGTCCAAGAGGTCACCTTCATTTGAGAAAATAAAGCTAAAAGACTAGGTAATGACTTTGGCAGATAACATTTCACCGGCTCTTTCCACGTAAAAGAGTGCAGCCAGCGATCTCAACCCACCGGTGGCGAACCTATCTGGCCCGCTGTTTCGAAGCGGCTGAAACGCACGCGAAGGTGGCAGACCTCTACCTCCGTTACGTGAACTCGGCCACGTCCAACGACAGGTGGGGAGGGCAGGGTCCCCTGCTGGGCACTCACATGTACACGGTGCCCTTGTGTCCCCCCTTGGTGGTCTGCATGACGCGGCTGAGCAGGCTCTGCCTCAGCTCGTCCGCCTCCACGCCCATCAGGGCCCCGGCCACACGCAGGGCCTGCTCCGACTCCGGGGTCACCCGACTGCCCCCGCGGCTGTCGTCGGGGCTCTCCTCAAAGGTCACATTGCCCAGGTGCAGCACCGCCGCCACAGCCACATAGATGCTCAGTCGCTCCTCATCAGTCAGGCCTGGAGTTTGCACGCCTCGGGTTAGTAGACATCAAAAACCGTCAATAGCCACATAACTAAGTCACTGACAGGCTGAATGGCAGGGTGCATCTTTCGGATGTTCGGCGCCCAGCGCGTGATCACTGCCTTCCGCCGTGCATTGGCTTTGCCCGTGCATGACAGCTCGAGGCTCACGAGATGCCGAAGTGTTACCGAGGTTAGGAAGCTCGGACTAGAGGTCCCTACCATCCTTGTCCCGTCTGTGACTGTAGGTATTTCGCAACGTCGGTTGTATTGTCTATCGTAAGGTGGCAGATGAGTGAAAGCGCTGCATCTGTTGGACTCGCAGACCGTCGGCCGGTGCTATGGGGTCAGTGTGACCCTGGTAGACAATGATAGTCCTAGAGCTTTCAAGAATGTATGAGAATTTCGGAAGTTTATTTCTACCCTGCACCCTAAGTGAGTTAAGCAATTTTACGTTGCAGTACGATTTGGACTGTTGTGACACCCCCATTTTGTGTGCACTTGCCACAAAAGTTAATTCCTGAGAAGAAAAAAGAAAAAAAAAAAAAGTGCAGATTGATTTTTGTGTTTAAAAACTAAAGATAATGAAAAAACCATAAAAGTAAACGGAAATTTTCAAAATTCTCAATGTTGAAGAGGGTACAAGAAAGTAAACATAAAATGCTGCGAAGTTATCACCGCGGTCGACATTTCTTCAGCAGGGTACAATCGCAGGCACGTAGCCAGGATTTTGTTTAGGGGGGGGGGGGGGGGGGGGGGGGGGTGCCCATGACAAAATGCTGTATGAGGGAAGGGGGGGGAGAGGAAGTCCCTGCAAAATAGAAAATTTCGGGGGGGGGGGGGGGAAGGCCGGGCCCCATGGCCCCCCCCCCCCCCCCCCCCCCATGGCTACATGCCTGGTACAATGGCATTTGGCTCGCATAAAAAGAAATGTGGGGAGTTAGGGCAGGGATCAATAATCTTTGCATGAAAGAGGGACACTTGTACTTTGCTGTTTATAAATGTTTTTCTTTGCAAATTCTTCAGAAATCGCGTTTTACATTTAGACGACCATTTGCAGAATTGCAAAGTATGCAGGCTATACTCTTATGCAGTGTGTTCCCCTTCCATCCAACCTTTGACTTGGTTTTCCTAACCGAGTCTGAGCATCAAACTTTTGAAAGCATTCTTAGAGTGCCATTTTGTTCTTAACATGTGGACATTGATTTTGAAACAAGTGAGAAATTTTATATGCTTTTGATACATGAACCAGCATTACCAATTGTAAGCGGGGTTGGGCGTCGTTGAGATACAAAAAGACAAATCCGCGCGTCTGCCTATAAATGAAAGGTGATTTTAGTTGACTTTCTGTCCAATCAGGATGGGCTTTCTGATTCTCGTCCATGTGCATAGCCTCCTCCACATGAAAGCTGGATTTCTGTGGTGTTTTTACCTGCATAGTGTTTACTCTCGAACAAAAATGTTCAATGTACTGAAATCATTGAGGAATGCTCTGTCCAATGAGAATATGATCATCATTTTATGCCTAACTGGCACGAAGCTACAGCAATTAGAAAATACCGGGTGTCTCAAGTAGCGACCAGGCTCTTTAAATCAACTGCAAAAATCTGTTTCTTAACCTACCGCGCTACGAATTTGTGCAGCGTTGCCCACGGGTGGTGCATTTTTTCTAAAAAATTTGCAAAGAGCGAATTTATCTGAGGAGAAAGTAAAAAAAAGAAAAAGGCTTGACTCCCATGGAAATCAGCGAAGCCATCACGATAGGTTAAGAAACCGAATTTTGCAATCGATTTAAAGAGCCTGGCCGCTATTTGAGACACCCGATAGAAAACAGTGAAGTTTCATGTTTGCAAAACGTATGATTTGGCATTATCATATTGCCAAAAATGAGTCATTTCCCCGTAAATATTTCAGGCATTGAGATAAAACTTTTTAAAAGTAAACATTTGACAGAGATCTGTCTGGTTGGGAGTAATTAATATTAAAAAATTCGAACACCAACCAAGCCCTTCTGTAGGAACCAAACGTTTCAAGGCCAATTCGGCCTCTTCTTCAGGAGCAACTACGGCTATGGCCGTTGAGGAGCAGAGTCCTTTTCTTTTTCTTCTACAGCGTGTGTCTGGTCTTCTTCTTCTACGGCTCTGCCTTTTTCAATAATGTGACGAAGCCCGTTCACATAGGCGGATGGTAAAGCCCCTAGAGATCTATTGATGTTCTGTGGCATTGTTTGAATATGCCATGATTCTAGGAACAGTCTTTTTTGAGGATTTGTCTCAACGTCAACAATGCATGCGTTGTCGAAGTCAATGCGATGGTCCTTGACGTCGCAGTGCTTTGCAGTAGTGTGCACTATCGGTTGTGGAACCCAAATACATAAAAATTAGAAACGCAAGTTTTTGCTGAGAAATCACTATTTCAGGCCCATGGTTAAAGTATACAGGGAGACATTAGCTAAGTCAATGCACCTATAGAACTTTCTATTGAAAGCATATGCAGCTAGCTTGTGGAATCACAAAATTTACTCCACCACATTATCAGATAAATTCTGCCTAGTACAAGCCACTGTATGCATCTCCAAAGGGACAGACTCAAGATGTGCCAAAGTGTACATATTGTTATAAACGCAAGTCTGAGAGATTTGAACCATGCTTAAAAGCACTAAAAAGATGAACAGAAGAGAGAAGACAAGCACGGGCGCTTGTATTCGTCTTTTTAGCGTTTTTGACCGTGGTTCAAAACAGTCCTCACCAACTAGCCCAACAACAAGTACACCCGTGAGCGATATGAAGGTGAACAGCCCTCTTCTTGTTTTTGACGTTCCTGCAAGTTTTGGAACAAGCTCTGTTCCAGAAGAGGGCTAGAACGCAAAGTTTAGACCCCCAAGCCACGTACCATTTAAGACGTTGAGAGTTAATATAGCTTTAGGGAGCCGTAAAACAGGCATGAAACCAGGTAAGGTGTTCACCTTCATATTGCCGACGGGTGTACACATACTTTTAAATTCTGAGAGTGTTCTGAAAAGTTGCCGACTACTCACCCATCAGCTGCAACGAGCGGTCCAGGTTTGCAAAGTCCTTGGCATCATCAATGACAGGGTCCTTCAGGGGGCCCTTGCTCTGGTGCTCCTTCGACTTGGAGTTGTTCTTGAGGAGCTTCTCAGACTCGGCCGAGCAGAAGTATTGGGTGCAACCATGCCGCAGGTACTGTCCAAAAAAATTCCAAATTGAGGCGTTAGAATGAAACCATGCCAGCATCTTCAAGGACAGTTCTGTCAAGCATACAAAAAAAAAACACAGCCCTGGATACCATGATGGCAAGCATAATAACCTTCTTGATTTCAAACTCTTCCTCGTTGTCGCCGGTACTTAATGAGAAATAAATCAAACAAAACAATGGCAGACAGGAAAGTGTCAAAACGCAAATAATAATTACGAGATTATATGTAGTGAACTTCTAACACAGCTCTTGGGAACTCGAAAATATTTTACGACCACAGTGGCCACATTTTGGATCTAGACAGTGCAAAACTGGATGGTGCAACCTGGTTTTTGGTAAACCCAAGAGCCGACTAATTTCTGCAAAGCAGAAGACCTTTAGTCTCTTCCACCCCAAATTTGAGGGTATTGACGACTCCAGCAAAATTGACGCCACGTACGACAACGCTGAGAAGCTCAAGAGAGAAAGTCATTTCGACTCTGTCATCTGCTATTGCTGCTCGATTCTTGTAAGCAGTACAGAAACAAACATTGTTTCCAGTAATTATTTTTATGCTTCCGCCGCATTATTTCGACACACCAACTAGAAGAAGGTTTCTATTGTCAAAAAATCGCTTTGCGTTCATATGCAACAACGATTTTACACTGCAGTGCAAAACATTTATGGTGGTCCGTGTGCTGGACGACGAAAACAACCTCCTTTCGTCCGCCGTTTTGCCTGAGTTGCGAATAGTCTCGGACAGGTTAAGAAATGCAGGGCTTGCAGAGTTCTGTGCGTCTCATCGTCCCTCCGTGGCTTGTGAGATTGCTGCGTTAGCCAGTAAGAATGCAGATAAGCCAAGTACGAAGCAAGAGGCGTGAACATAATGGGCCATGCCCCGAGTTGCTCAAGCTCTCAGTCACCATAGCAAAACATGGAACAAAGGAGGAAGAACATGGCTTCGCAGTGTTCCGCTCGAAGGAATTCAGTGTAAAACACTCGGCAAAAAGGATTAAGTTCACAAACATTCTCAAGGGACTTCCCAAACTCTGTCGGGCTCGCCAGAACTTCCCAATCAGTCTAGCTTCTTTCTATCCGTTTAGAAAATTTGGCCCGAAATGCCTTATGCGGATTCTAAGTGGAATAGGGGCACTATCTCACGTTGAAGTCGTCGGGGCTGGTAATCCTGAGCTGCTGCCTGAGCTCGGCCGGCGCCCCGGCACACAGCTGGTAGAAGATGTGGTAGTTGCGCTCGCCCCTCGCCTGCCCACAGATGCGGGACTTCTCCAGCAGGTAGTGGGAGATGAAGCCTCCCACCACGTTGCACTACGCACACACACAGAAATGCGAGGCACCACCAGATTGAACACTTTAGCAAAGTTTCCTCAATTGACACTTTCTTTAGGGGTACAACCTGATAAGGAGCTCAGATGCAGGTACATACTGCGTAACCTTCAATTATCACGAAATTTAATAAGCATACTCTCCAGTGATACGAATAAACTGAAGCTATTTTCCTTTGCATAAAATTCGTCGGACAAAAACAAAATATCAGCACACACAACATTTGGTCAATCATGATGATCATAATTTCTTTTCCTCGAGGATTGCATGGGCACGATACAAACTCGAAACACAAAAATTGAAGATAGCGTCACCATAATAAATAAACAAACTCTAAGCTAGTTATGTAGGCCAGAGAGTAAAAGGGTAGTGGCCTCCACCAATTTATTAGAGTCATTAGTGTCAATAATGCATATGAGAAGACAAAGCTCAATAAACATTGCACGACTCGCAACAGTATCCTAAAGAAACCTGTTTTGCCAAACTTGAAATGCCGACAATTTTGCTAAAAATTTACAATGACGAGATCCACGAGAGATAAGATTACAGTGAGACTTTTTTCACCCCTTCAGATTTCCTTTTTCGTGCCCCAGTATTGCGCTAATGTCATTGTGGTAAACCTCCACCAGCTCGTCTGCACACTAACTGTATTCTATCTAAATATGTTTCCATTTTGAAGCAGGACAAACCTATTAACCCCATGGCCGGGTGATAAAGCATGAAATAATATAAAGCAACAGAGAGGACAAAACTGTCAGCAAAGACAAATTACCTTGTTGTTAAAGTGGATTTCAATGAATTTCCCAAAGCGGCTGCTGTTGTTGTTCCGCATGGTCTTTGCATTCCCGAATGCTTCAAGAACAGGGTTAGCTGGGGAATAAGAAATAATGAGCACCAGTGAGTGATGATTGAACGAATCTCAATTAAAGTGCACTTCCTTGTCGTGTAATTGAATATAAGCTTCTCAAACATAGAATGCCCACAGCAAGCTGGGAAGGCAGTGTCAGGCCTCTCCAAACTTGGACCCCTGCACCCTGAAGGAGGTTCATCTTTTAAAATCTTTGGAAAGTGCCCAATGAAGGAAGTCAGTCAACCTGTGAACACTGTAAAATTCCAAACGAATCACTTCCCCCAAAATATAACCCATCTCGTTTTCTGGATATTATCTTTTCTGGACTATACACATCTAAAAGATGAAATTTTACGTAGCACAAACTATCTACAGGTCTGGACTATGTTTTTTTTTATATATAATTAATTATCACAGGACATGATGGTTTTTGTAGATGACTTTTGTGGAAAGCTTTTTTTCCATTTGAAATTTGCCACTGCAGACTATACGCCAGGCGCAAAATACAGTTTAAGCAATATAGTAAATATTGACGGGGTTACAAATGCTGAAACATTGCCCAGATACTGCAAACAATGCAGTACGCCCAGATACCGCAAACAATGCAGTACTGGTTGCTGACTCCTGGCAGCTGCCACTTTCCCGACGAAAAAAAAAAAAGAAGATATCTGTTGAGGCTAGAATTTGGGAAGATGAGTAAGATTTCTCTCTAATTTGTCACATGTACGACAAGATTAGAAGCATCTTATTTTCTGGTGATCTTGACATAATCAATTTAATAAAAATGTGCAAAGAAACGACCTGCAAACAAGTGAGTTGCCAAGACTCGCCATAGACCTTTCATAAACACTTTCACGAACTTAGTAGTCTAGTACTGGGTAATATCCAGAGATGCCGCTAACCTTATGAGGTTTAAGATCTAAAGGTTTAAATAACCTTGAACCTACTTAAGTTCAGAATTTTGGAAAGGTCGCATTTTTCAACCCCACCACGTTGGAATATTTGGAGATGCTGAGGTTTCTTAATGTTTGAGTTCAAAGATTTTGAGTTTATTTAAATATTCAGTTTGAAAAATTAGAACTTGAATTTCTTTAAGGTGCAAGTTTGAAAATTCAAAGGTTTAGAAATGGTTTGCGAAGTTCCAAGTCTTTGAGTCGCCCAGAAAATGACAGAGTACCACAGTTAGTAATAAAATTTTCACGGATCCATCTTGAGAAATTGCAAAAAGTGTGACGAATTTCACAAGTGTTGCCCATTTCTTTTACAACATTACGTCTCCTTCCTTCCGAGTGCTACGGCACTTATGCCATTACTCATTATCTTTGTAAAACAAGCATTGAACGGTACACCGAAAAGCCTTGAAGTCGTCCGGTGAATGTCCTTCCTACCTGTTTGCAAACTGGCAGCGACCCAACTGAGTGCCGCATTAATGCGACTCTGGCACGAACAACAAAATATACGAGGCAACGCGTGTACGTAACAGAAAAGCACCCCAGGCAAAACGTTTCACTTCCTGCAAGTTTTTAGTTGCTGTGGACATTAATTCTGGTGGAATAACCCGCAGATAGAGAAAACACTGGACACAAGGATACGGGCAGTGCACCCAGCACAGCTCAAGGTTGAGGAGCATGAAACCAGACTACACTTAGGGGGCCCCCACCCTGGCCCCAAAAATGCAGCTCGTCAGTTCAAGACAGGTTGTGCATCAGGCTCACCCCATCCCCTTTTTCAAACATTCTTTCAATGAATAATGAAGTGGAGATGCTGCCCACTCTAAAATGCAGCCACCATAATTTAACAAAAAAAAACTAAAATACTGCTAACATGAGTTATAAAATTTGGTCATTGAAAGCAAAATGTCAACTAAAGAGGGGTTTCTGCATGTCTAGCGTACCATGGAAGCAGAGCTTGCCGTGACTCTGATATGGTGGGTCAACCGTGATGTGCACTATTGATTCCCGCTATGTGCGAGTCTCTACTGCAGTGGTTCTCAAGTGAGGGTCTGTAGACTGTTTGTGGTCACTGAAGGCCTTCATCGGGTCTCCGAAGCAATTGACCATCAATCAAACCAAGCCATAAAACTTTTTTTTGTATGATGTTTTTTTTTTTAGAAAGCTGCATAAACAAATCTGTGTGCACGGAGTGTGTAGGGTTAATTATTATCTGTTTCAGCCTCAAAGTTGGTTTGTACCAATTCATTTCTATTTATCCTTGCGTCGTTTTAATCGTCCGATACAACCCTCCCACGCAGTGGACGTCGTTCCCATCGCTTCCATCAACCCAGAAAAGGTCCCCAAAACATTGGTGATTGAAAACCACTACTCCAGCCAGTTCCCACACCTTTATAACACTGTAGAACCCGCGTTCGTTGCAATCGCGATCTGTGGAATCGGTTCTTGCGAAACAAGAGTTTGTAGCGGGCTTTTGCAAGTTTATAGCACAGCGAAAAATAAATTTGCTGTATCCCCAATATAATTTCCTGTGTCACGTAGATTTATAGCGGGAGCTTGCGCTTTTATCGCCAATTTCTTGGGTTTTGCTTTAGCATACCCAAAGATAGCCCGCCTAACATTTTTTGCCATTTACCTCTTCACCGTCGGTGGGCATTGGTTTGGGATTTTACGAAGAAACGGTAGTAGTACAAGAAACCTATCTAGCCTTCCAACAATAAATATGCGCGCAACCTACCGCGACTCGCTTCGACTAGATACAATGCAAAGCTAAAACCCACTTTCATGCCAAACGATTATCAGCGAGGAACTGCAAAACAGGCGCAGATTGTATGTAAAAACAAGTAAGCCTCGAGATTGTTCCTTGCAGGACAGCTTTACAGCTCCACCATGTTATGAAAGTGGAAGAGTGGTACATTCCATGGCCTTTACGAAGGCAAGCTTTACAAACAAACCCTCGGTGAGCACTTTGACGCGACAACGAGGTGGCCCACCTTCGAGGATTCTCTGCTCGATGGGGCCGGCGTGGCTGCCCCAGGACTCGCACAGGTAGCGCAGGATATACTTGGTGGACTCCGTCTTGCCCGCACCTGACTCCCCGCTCACAATGATGGACTGGCTCTGCTTCAGAACCTTCATGTCCCTGAAGGCCTTGTCCGCTGCAGCAAACACGTGGCCACGATGAGACTAGCATCGCTTGCCTAGTAGTATTAGCGAGAAAGGGATCTTGGTCCGACAAAAACTGCCGCAACAGCTCCTGGTTCGTAGCATCTGCTATGATCCGTTGCAAGGCAAGACGAAGTGTACCACCAGAAACAGACTGGAATTTTCTTGTTAGAAGCAACCCTATTAGAAAATGGCCTAGAAGACCATGTACCACATACCGATTGCAAAGACATGAGGTGGCAGCACACCCAGAGATTTTCCCTGGTAGCGCTTTATGGCTTCTGGAGAGTAAAGGCTCGGAATTTCGAAATATGGGTTCACAGCGATCAGGATGTTTGCCACGTAGGTCTGCAAAGAGAGCAAAGGCAGGCGAGCCATGAGACGCTAAATACTCAGCTTTAATTATATTAACAAAACAGTTATGAAGAACAAAATATAGTTTCTGGAAATAAAGGGTGAAATATAGGATTACGCAATGTATAAGGTAAAAATAACAACATTTTTTAGATGCTAACCCCAGACACTTTAGAGGTTACAAGTCCATCGATTTTTTTAATGAACAGTAGGGTTACTTCTAGTGAAGTCAATTTTTTACAATAACAGTCATTACAACATCAATCTTTCTTTTATTGAATCAGTAGATCAGATGCCTGTACCAGTAATACAGAATTAAAAGAAACTAACTAAAAATGTAGACAAGAACATTATGATGATATAGGCATAGAAACACTTATCGTAAAAAAATGTGTTTCTTGTCAAAAAAGAAAAAAAAACACTTTTTTTTGTAATCTGTTTTTATTTTTGGGAAGTTCTGCTGTAAGCAATTTTAAGACGCTATAAACCACTGCCCCCATGCCACACATACAGGAGCAAGGGAGTACTCACATATATCTTGTTTTTGTTGTAGCGGACCTTGATGTTGTTGAAAAGAGTTGCCTCGTTCAAGTAGATCAGCGCACCTTCAAAGAATAAACACTACTTTAGTCAACAAGAAAGGGGCCTCTACGGAAAACCAGAAAACACTGCAGAGATACTAGAACTCACAGTTGTCATCCACATCCTTGTTTGGGTCCTCCTCAGATGAGTGAACACTTCTGTAAGGGGCTGTAATTGTCTAGGAAAGATATAAAATAATAGAGACAAGGTCATTCAGGTAGGTATAACCGTAATGTCACAAGGTGACACAGAGATAGAGCAAAATATTTAAGGCTACACTTCTACTCGTTACAATGAACCGCTGACAGACTTTCCTTATCACTCCGCAGCTAGTTCGATGATTGCAACCAACAAAACATTGGTTACACGTCTTCACACAATGTTCGAACTCGCCCAACACGTGAATCACGATGGGAGAATTTAGGCCAGACCAGATCCCTTCCCAGGTTGAAGAATTAGCCCCGGACAGCATGATATGCCAATTCAAAGCAAAAGCCACGAAAGAATACAAACAGAATGGGGAACATTAAAAAGCATCCTAGCGAGAGGAGTACATCAAAAAGAAAATTACGGAAAGCAGTGAAAAAAATGTTGCCGTGCCTGTGAGCATTGAAGATAGTACCCGAAACCTGCTTGGTCTCACACAACCACTCATTCTGCTGGTAATAAAGAGGGTTTCGCATATTGGGGTTCATTTTTCTTTGAATTTGCGAGTGCTTCCCCGAGGTTTATTTTTTCGCCGAGATTCGCTCTCTATTTTCGGAGTTGGACAAAACACTGGCGCTTACGTAAGAAAACATAACACGGCAGCAGTATTCTCGAGAAATACCGGGGAACATGAGCGGGAATCAAATACTTGGAAAACGTCTCCATACTGATAAGAGAAAGAAACAAGACAAGGCGTGCGGTCCCCAAAAGGAAGCAGCAGCCTTTCGGACAATTCGGCGTGGGCTGGGTACCAGATCAAGGTGAAATGAAGCTGTGGACAAATTTTTCTTTCCGTGAACCTCAGGTTTTTCCTCACTCAAATTCAGCTGCCATTCAGGCTTTTCGGTTCTACCCATTTTGGATAAAATCGGCTCGGGGGCTGAGTTTTTTGGGGTTTGTACCGAAAACATGGAACCCCATTATAAAGCATATCTAGCATAGATTAACAGTATTATGTACATCCTCATTGCACAAGAAATGCCCGTGTGGAGTAATAAGACCCGCCCACCTGGGAACCGCCATTGAGCAGCACTGTGACAGTCTCCCCCCCAATGTCAACAATTCGACCAAGTTTGAAGCCTTCGTGCTCATCAGGGGCCCACACTAGGGAGGCATCCATGACCGCCACCTGTGGACAGGAGAACAAACAAAACAACAACAAAAGAGTCAACAATTAGAGTTCTCACTGTAAGCGGTGAATCAAATGGTTCACAGACATATGAGTAGATTGTAATAGACATGTGTTTATTTAAATACTGGTACCAAACAGAGGGGCAAGCTAGATTTGGTAGCATTTTGAGAAAAATACTTTGGTATTAACTAACCTAGGCAAAGTTCTAAAAGTAAACTAATATTCTCTCATTAATTAGCAACTGCCAAGACTCAATTGGGGCTATTTTGAACCAACGACGTCGATTTTTCAACGGCACGTCGACACACGGCCGAGGTTTAAATGTTTCCAGGTGTCCCTTGCCATGTGGTAAGGGTACTACATCCTGTTGTTCATTTCTGAACAGCATAGCTCAGTATATATATGTTTAGAATAACATTCTCTGAGCATTAGTGATCCGTCAATTGTAGTTTTTTCCAGCTGTCCCAACCATGCCTAATCTGTCTGAATAATGGCGACCTAAATTGATGCAAGAAATATCTTCAAGTTTTCGTTTTCTGTTTTTGCTGCAGCTGTAATTTATAGTAAACCTGCACAAAATAAAACTCTCTCACATTTACTGCAATGCTAAAGAGCATGACATTAAGTGAGTCTGAGATCTAGGAAAGAAAAAAGATGCATTGTTATCTGCTCAATGCCAGAAAGATATCATTGACAATCACGGAAAACACTCAGCTCAGTTGATAATATCTAAGAGGAACAGCCTTGAACCACAACCTTCATTTCATTATCATTGCAGGCGTCCTTGACTGCCCATGGTGAATGGGCACTGTATAAACACAATTTCGATGGCATTTTTGTGAGGGATCCTAAGGTCAGATTATAACCTCACTAGTGGGAACGTCCAAGAACAAAACACCAATTTCCTTTCACACAGTTTGGACAGAATTTTGAAAGGAATAGGGTAAATAAAGTCTTCCAGTCACATATACAAACTCAGAGAATAGGCAGTTCTCAGTTTGCCAGGGGAAAAAACAAACAAGCCCTCATAATAAAATCATCAAGATTTGAAAACTTTTATATGTTTTGCAGCATGAAAACCTACCAGCATGCCTTTTCGTGCCCGAGGCTACAGTGGTGAGATTCGCTGAACATGGCATTCGGATTCACCACATGGGGGGCGGGGCATACGCCATAAAAGACCGATTGCAAACTTAGTGAGCTTTTCCCGGGCACACGAGGGCCACACAAGGGGGAAAAATACAGTCCAGTTTTTTTCCCAGCTAACTAAACTAGACCGTTCTTGTTTTTACGCATTCAGCGTAGTTAGCGTTGCCACGCAAAAGCGTGCGCGCGTTCAAAGCTCTCTCGCAGTAACAAAACCAAGATATCATTCCTTTTCTTGGTTTTGTTCTGTGTTTTTCGCTTAAACCGATTTCTCAACCTTGATCTCATTTCCCCGGGTATACGTAACAGGCGACGGCCGTCATTCGAGCCCGCGGGGTGAAACAACGACAACAAAGCCTGCCGAGGGGACCGAGCTCGCTGATCGCGGAGAAAATCTAAAGCGGAGGAAAACGATGGGTCCCGCGAAATCGGCAGAGCGAGCTGTCGATAAGACCACTACACACACTGCCCGTCAGCCGCCGCAGCCGCATTGTTGTTCGTCTCGCACGCCTGCGAATGCAATCCAAGCGTGACGCGGCATCCGAAAACGAAATCCGGGTGGAACACCGCGTTCAAAAAAAAAAATAGCGAGAACCGACATATCCAAAGCTCCCCTTCCAAACACGCGTTTTAGAGATACTCGCACTGGATCCCCCCACAAAAAAACAGTCTTGAGAATTTACGGCACGTCAGCGGCGGGCGTTTGACTTGGTTTGACCCGTTCAAGTGAAAACAGTTGAAAACACCTGCCAGACACGGAGACGTTGGACAGACAGAATAGCGGTGACGACGAGCGTAGACCGATTAGCTCCGTTAGTTCGCGTGAACAATGACAGGAAATGGACAAAAAAAAAAATAATAAGTTCCGCTATTCGTGCGCAGAAAACAAGTTACTTCACGAAGACGGAGGCGAAAAAAGCTCTCAGGAGATAGCAGTCGTGAATGGGGTGTTGCAACCAGCGCAAGACATACTGCATGCAAACTCGGCGATCGCTAGCAAGCTGGAAGTTTGCTTTGAGGGGGAAAAAAACTTGAACTTTGGGCCCGAAGGAACGCGTAATAACAACTCCAGCTGCGGATTTTGTTGGCGAAACGGGGAAACATACGATATAAACCCGGGCCAGCTCTTGAATATGTCAGGAGCTCGAATGTGGGGAGTATGGCCAACGATACTTCCGTTTTATGATGCTTTTTTTTTTTTTTTTTCTTCGTCTGTTTTTAACAAGATTGCCAAACTAATATACGAGGTAAACTGTCCGCTTGAGGTGGCTAACAGTACTGCTTGAGCCTCCGACAAGTTATGTCTAATTTCAAATTAATGCAAGAGCAATATGCAACGCAAGAAGCACTCACACAGCGCCAGGCCCAGATCAGCACAGAAGCACAGCCGACCGCTACCCGACGCACGGCAACTTTTTTTTTTTTTTATGATTTTTTATCGAAAATTACAGGTAGACGGATCGTAGTTTCGTACAGAGTAAAAAAAGTATACTTCTGTTCCATCTAAACGTATTATTGGTCTATACGTTAATACAATAAAATAATTGCTTTAAAAGCGTGAAATTAACACTCACTATAATATGTTTCTTTGCAAATTTTCAAATAATGTATAAATATAAACGTTTAATCTGACTAGAAAACAATTTAGAAGTATATTACACGAATATAATCAGACAAATTATTTATTTAACCATTTATTTGATCCAATTTACACACAATCCGTACGAGACGACGGCTTGTTTATCGGCCACTCTTTTACCGTCTGCATTATAAGGTGTCTGGGTGCCTCGCACCTTTATTACAGTGTACAGCCGTTATCGCACGGTGCTTCAGAACTTTTTCTGATTAGAAGTAATTTTTATTTTGTTGCTGTCATGTCGTTGTTGCTGCGCATAGGGTTGGGATATCTAAGCAAAGTAAGCGATAATTTATTACGGAAAAATATCGGAAGGATTTGCAGACCTTCAAAGTTTGCTCAGCACCGGTGCCTCACTACCACGCCTCAACGAAGAAAAAAAGAAACGTGCGTTGAATTTTATTCCTTGTCTATCGTAGTGTTAAAAAGGAACAGTTCAGAAAACCTCTGTTTAAGCCTGAAACACTTGTGAGAGCTGACATGTCGAATTTTGAGACGTGTTATCGCAGCTTATTGACCCCAAAAGAAGCTGATAAGATGCGCGAGACCAGCGAGACTGGACATTTCGAAGTGACAATCTGCTATCAACAATAAAACAAGAAAAGTAGATTATAATTTTTAAAAGTTGGGGAACATATGCGCGTATGGGTGGGTTTTGGTGACAATCGTTTTTCAGATAACTATTAGTCGTATAGTTCTTTTTCTTTTCTCCGAGTTTTCATGTGTAGTTACATACATATGTTTGTGCATAAGAGGATACAGCCTCTACTAAAAATGCAGGCCAGGCCACGTTCTAATCAAGGCCTTGAGCCAGGCTCTTTAGCAATCGGCGCTCATGTCTTTCCTCGTCTGGTTTGTTCATTCTCTGTACACATACTCCGAGAGATATATACGCTTGGAAGTCAGCTTATTTAGGATGTGAATGAGCCCAAGTACTACCGATCCACCTTTAGCATTTGGCATTGCCTCGTGTCAATAACTGACGGCCTCCTTTCCTTTCAGTTTTGAGATTACCTTTGTACTGGAGAATGGCACAAAATATACAGCCACGGGAAAAGCAGGCGACAACCTTCTGGACGTAGTTGTAAACAATAACCTGGACATTGATGGCTTTGGTAAGCCCTAACCTACTCTTCTTAACTTTCTTTCTATCGCTAGTCTCACACCTGTTAAAAAAAAAAAAAGCTAAAATTGTGTTGCTATGATTTAACAATTAAAGATGCCAGTTGGGACCAACTTTGAGATCATATATAATTAATGAGTCTCTGATCAAACGTGGCTTTTTTTCTAGCTGTAATTGACACATCCGGTCAAAAAGTATGTTTAAAATTCAAAATCACTGATCGAAAAAAAAAAAAAAAAAGATATTCAGAAGTTTAGCCATCCGCACCTCCGCTGCATGTTTCGAGAGCAGAAGAGACATATTCCAGGAACGTGTCGTAGACAACGCACCTTTTCAAACCTCTACTGCTTTGCCTGCACCTGTGGTACATATATAATGTGAATTTGTGCTTGTATCTTTTTATTAAACAGGTGCATGCGAGGGGACCTTGGCATGCTCAACGTGTCACCTCATCTTCAAGCCCGAAGATTACAGAAGGTTAAAGGAGACACCAACGGATGAGGAACTGGACATGCTGGACCTTGCCTACGGACTCTCCGACACGTTAGTACAGTTGAAAGTTTTTACACAAATTCATTAGTGAGACTCCCACATGAAAATAGGCTGCAGCTTCCAGCTGGAAATGAAGATTTCCAGCCGCATTTTCGGCTAAATTATACAGCAGCAGCTAAAAATCCTGTTTGCAGCTGGAAATGGATGCTGCTCATGCTGGAAATCAGAAATTCCAGCTTGGAAGTGCATGATCTACCTGGAAGTTTCCCAGCTAGATGAGGAAAAATCTAATTTCCAGCAAGCAGTTTGTCCATTTCTGGGTGGAAACAGCCTGGAATCTGGCTGGTAAAATAGATTTCCAGCTCCAGCCGTAGTCATTAGCGACACTTCTAAAATTGCAAGAGCAATAAAAGTGGTGACTTTCACATCTTATAAAACAGTACATTAATGTCACGCAAAAACAACCCATTGAACTATTATTTTTGCACACTTATTGTTCTGAGAGTTTCATTATAGAGATATATGTTTGCATAGCCAAAATAACACAAATATAGTGGATCATGGATCAAGGGAAAATGAAAACAATACTGCCCTTGGTTGCCATTTCCAAGAAGAATGAATGCATTCCCGATTATCCCTAAAGCAATGCGTACCAGTTAGGAAAAAAAAATTGACTGTTGGGTAAGTGTGGTAAAATCTCGCAACTTGAAAGGAAATGAAATCTCTCACAACTTGAAACGGATAGCCTCTATGACATACAGGTGGTACCAGCACCTGATAAACTCAAATACCTGTGTCTTTACAGTAAGCACTTGTCCTGTCTGTATGTCTGTTCTGTCCTTGTCCTTTGAGTTTTAGATGTTTAAAAAAAATACTGTAAAGGTGAATGAAAAAGAATCATGAAAGATTGTGTTAAAAAATACTTGTACTTTGCTTTGAAAGTACATTGTATTTATAGTACTGGTCATCCAAAAGAAAACCGAACCCTGTTTTTCGCACCGCAAAAATAAACTGGACATTGTGGAGAGCTCAAACTCCATCAGAATGTAGCCCCAACCGTTCGAGCAAGATGCCAAAGTTTCAGCACAGTCTTATTCAAAAGTTATAAGCGATTTTCTGAAAATTTTAATGGAAAAATGGCGGCCGACAAAGCTCTGGACTACAAGTGGTGGAGAAAAGCTCACCGGAAAACAGCTCATCGGAGAAAAGCTTACTGGAGTAAAGCTCACTGGAGAAAAGCTCGCCACACCGGCAGATGCAGAGAAAAGCTCATTGAATTCTTAAATTTTTCTTAGCTTAGCAGATTCTGTATCACACGTGTCTGTTTAACATAGTTGGAATTAGTCATTTTATTAAAAATAATTGTCCTCTTTCTTGTAATATTCTTGAAGTTTGTTGGGCATATTTACTAATTCCTCAGAAATTAGCAATCACCCATTCTGTCTATTAATGATGCCACAAGTATAAGATCAGAACATGGGACATCCGTAGAAACAACAATGTATTGACAGTTTGACAGTGCGCCGTTGGTAGCTCTGTCAGATAAAAAGGTTTGTTTTTTTGCAAGCTAATATTGCGGTGTGTGAACCATTTCAACTCCGAAGATTGTGGTGCTTGATAGATGAGTAGGTGCTTATTGATATAATCAGAGTTGGCTGCGCTGTTTTCTCTCTGTTTTTTTCCCTAATAAAACTTTAGTTTTGAGAACAGCTTTGTCCTGTCGTGTTTGTTGTCTTCACTCCGTCTTCATTGTTTGAGCCGTTTTCATCATATATAATGTTTACCAACTTGCCCAATTCGCTACTTTACAGAAGACTAATTCTTATATAGGTCATGAGTGACACTGTACAGCTCTGCAGGTCATGAGTGGTTTGCCGCAGAAGGGCACTATCACACAAAGGCAACATGTGGAAAAACCAGCACGAACGGCTAGAAAACGTGCATGTTCATGAAAGAAAGAAACCTCGATATCCTACTGACCGTTCTATCCTGTTTTTAAAGATCAATGAAAGCTTCAAACACAATTTAAGGCACCACATTGTTGCACATGCACTTTAAGATTTTCAGCATTTACAGTTTTACTTTTTAGGTTTTAGGCAGACATTATTAAGTTTTTGAACTTTTTCCTGTTTTTCAAGGTCATAAAGTTTTCAGTTAGGCTTTTGTTGCCTATACCCGTTTTCAATTCAAGAAAAAAGGAAGTTCTGCTCAATGTTCATACGCCGGGCGAAGTAGATTTTACAAGATTTGGTTGTTGAAGGCAGAAGCGATGCTTTTGGCATTTGAAACGTGTATGTCTTGGTAAGGTAACATATACTAGTCTAAAATGCACCTGCATAGATCTCAGTTCTCAGCATAAAACGGGAAATTAGTAATGCTCCACGAAAAGCCATACTTTTTTTTACTACAGTTCTTGAGGTGAAAACGAGTAAACCCCAGAAAACACTCACTCACAATTACTAATTTAATTGGGAGCAATATACCTAATAAGCTTAACAAATATTACAAAAAAGGACATTTTATTTTTACAAAACTGACAAATTTTAATGATAATAAATTTATGTATGTTACGCATGATCTGACAGCCACCCTATGAAAAGAAGAAAAAAAATTGGTGAGCTTTTTTTAGCATGTATTGGTTTTGTGGTGAGCTTTCCTCCGGGATTCCTTGAATACATAAAGGTCTATGGTGCCAGAAACTAAAAAACGGGCAAAAATGGGCCCCATCTTTTTATTGAAAATTTCAGAAAATCACTTATAACTTTTGAATAATGGTTGGTGCTGAAACTTTGGCATGTTGCTCAAACGGCTGGGGCTAAATCCTGATGGAGCTTCAGCTCTCCACAATGTGTAATTCGTTTTGCGGTGTGGTTTGGTTTTCTCGCAAATGCCAAAGAAAAGAGAACCGTGTTTTTCGGCCCGGGTAAATAATCTAAGCATCGCAAAAGCTCAAGCTCCGTGAGAATGTGACGATAGCGGTTGGGATATAATGCAAAAGTTTGAGAACATGACGTTACCTGGATCAAAATATAATCAAGAAAAAAGAAATTTCTCTATGATCGAGCAGACGTTCACCTGAGCCTAATATCATCAAAACGAGAAATGACATTGTGGGCGTCTGTGGCGTCTATTTCAGTTGAGCAATCTTGTCAATAAGAAAGAAAACTATATTCTTTCTTTATGACAAGTCTTTCGCTGATATAAATCCAACGAGCATTCACAATATCATTTCTTGTTTTGACGATGTTAGGCTTAGGTGGACGTCAGCTCGTAGAAATTTTGTTTTTCTCGATTATCTTTTAATCCAGGCAATGTCATCTTCTCAAACTACTAGCTTCACATCTCAGAGTTCGAGCTTTCTGCGATGCAGTTTATTTACCCAGGCTGAAAAACACTGTTCCTTTCTCTGGAGCTCCCTTTACTTTCTTTCCTTCAAGTATGTTGCATGCAGTGTACTTTCTAGTTTACTTAGAGTACATAACCTACAATTTACTTTGTACTTCAAGTACTCTTTAGATGTAATTTACCCAACACTGCCTAGATGTCCAAGAGCACCTTTGCTAGAAATGGAACCAGCGACTTTTATACTGCACAGTGACCGATATGTGTATGCAGCAAACACGTCGATCACAGATCACAAAACTGTAGCAACAGAAGAGGACATTCAACACAGATTTCCTTATGTGCAGATAATTTCTGGAGTATCCGCCTGGCCTGACCTGCTCAGAATTGACAGTAAAAGGGACAACACAACTAAGGAACCCGGATATTTTGTACCAGATTGCCATGGAAAAGGCAAAAGAAAAAGAGATAAAGATATTAGGCACTTTACATTCCCCAATTTAATGAAGCAGAAGTATAATCTGCCATAGGAAGGCGACTTAACCCCTGGGTTGAATGGAAGGTAACAACCTTATCTTGTCCCATATGAAGCATACTTGCAACGAGTTATCAGAAGTTTGTACTCAATATCAGCTTTAAACAGTGGTCACAATATTACACCAAGAGAAGCTCAAGTGAAGCAGACTTGACATTCTGTTTCAACATTGTTTTGTGCCACAGTATAAAGCAGTATGGTACCTATGTATTATGTCGCCCACTTGCAGCTTTGACCCACCCTACAGAAAAAAAAAGGCTGCCCGTCAGTCTGAAGACTAGTGGTCATGTTAAACTTCGCTAACACAAGCGGGGCAGGATGGGGTTTTAGTTTAAACTGGGTAATCTTTGTACATGCACGCATAGCTGGACATAAAGAAAAATTAAACGGAAACTGCAGCAGTTTTGTATTTGTAAAAAAACGCTTAAACCGTCTTTATTTGGCCTCCAAAATTATGTTTCAAATTGATGCACCAAGTAGCCACAATAGCATTTTCAAAATAGCGCTGAAACCCCTCCTTCCTGTCGCGTTCGGTGCGAGGAGGGAATCATGATGCATTAGGGAGAGATGTCAACATTTTTCCACTTTCTGCAAGCCTTATCCAAGCTCATAGAGATCATACCTGTGCAGCCCACTGATCTCTACCATAGGAATATGTATGATCTCTATGGGACTAGAGGGGCTGGGTGGTGCTTAGCCGTGCTCCAAGCCGGGCTCAAGTGAAGCCACCGGAAGCTTGATGCTTATCCCGGAAGTCGAGTGTCTGCTGGGCGCAACATTCAATCCCGAGAATGAGGCATTTGGACATGGGGCATGCACACTTAATCAACAGAATCTCGAAATTATCACACATCAAATGGCTTCCCAGAAGATTTCTCGGGCCTGCATGAGCTGTTATTGAGCAACAAGCAGGCTCTCTTGAGATAGCAAAAGCAAATCCGGTGCCCTGGGCAGTTTGAACCAACACTCGAAAGGGTTGGAAATTCTGTCAAGCACTCACCTCCGGGACAAGCCGCTGCTCAATGCGCCATCCAGTCCTCTAGTGATCAGTGGAGCAGTCAAAAGCGCTGCATGCGTTCCCTCACAAGCAGCACATGCAAGGCAGCTGAAACCTCTGGGTATGACGTCACACCCAGCAGTTAACCTTTTCAGCTTCCTTTTAACCATCATGCACCAAGACCCATATTACCCAGAGGCAACATCCAACACCCCCCCCCCCCCCCCCCCCCCCCCCCCCCCCCTATGCAGCCCAGCCCTGAACGTACCTCATGATCCCCATAAATGCTAATAGTGGGCGGCATGGTGTAAAATCCCAGGCGAACGACGTCTGCTATTCTGACATCTTGCTGTGCACATGCCTTATCTAAGAGTAAAGCAGCAAAATTTGCGAAATGTAACTGACAAGAGATGCTAAGAGAGCACATTTTCCCACCTTTTTGGTTTGATTGTGGAATCAATCCTTGATATTACACATAGGCTTAGGCTAGCAAGAGTGGCCATAAAAGAAAAAGCAAGACTTGAATAGGCCCCGCTGCAAAGTGATAGGACATAAGCGCTGCTTTGACATTTAGTTGACAAGCTTGACCCCAATGAAACTGCCCATGGGATTGTTAGTCTTGGAAACATTTGGTACCAGACAACTTGTCAACTAAACTTCTATACCTGGCTGTATATTTTGCACTACTGACTTGTCTTTTAGCTTCCAAATATTTTTGTTTTTGTTTTCAGGTCTAGACTGGGCTGCCAGGTGTATCTCACTAAGGACCTGAGCGGAATGGAAGTCAAAGTTCCTGCAGGTGTGAACGACGCCAGAGGAACCGATACATGACAACCTCTAGGACATAAGAGCTTGTCGAAAGAATGACAGAAGGAAACTTTGTTTATGTGCTACACTGTTCAAGTGTTAGGTTGATTCTCCTATTAATAAATAGTTATTTTTGTATAACCCTCACATCCTGTTTTTAATTTTCCAAGCGTGTTAGGTAAAAGACAAGTTCATAGCCATGATACTGCTACAGCTGCTACAATAACAAACTACCCGTACTGAAAATTTTCCAGAGTAAACAAAGTTTTCACACCCTTTAAAATATATGAAAACTTGAGACCTCAGTGCTCCAGCTACCTTTTGTTACAAAATAGGCATGTTTTGCCCCTTTTTAGTCAAATTAATAAGAGGGAATTATGCAGCAGACAATAACACCCTCTAAATGATATAGGTGTGTGAATGAACAAATAAACGCACGTCTGGCAAAACAATCCTCGATAATACAAATGCTACACAATTAGACTGAAAATAAGCACAGCAATATTTTCATATTAGGCATGCACACCCATGCAGAGCTCTATTCTTAATGTGACCTGTTCTGGTTTCAGGAACTCTACCTTCACTAGGGAAAGTTTCAGAACCTGAGTATAGACCAGGGGTGACCAGATGGACCAGTGGAAGAGGCACTTTAACTGAAGAGCCTCAATAAAAGAGGTGTGGCATATTTTAAATAATTTAATTTGGAGATAATTAAATTTAATGGGGAGATCCTTCGAACATAGATTGTCCCCATCTTACAGAGGCATGCATTGATACAGCCCTCTTCCTAGTGTGCATAACTCGAAACCGTATCGTTGCACGAATTCCAAGAAAAGGGAGACTTCAGCTTCCCTTTAAGACAACTGCGTCCAATCAAGACCCAGAAGTTTGACCACCCCTGCTTACCAGAGTCAACAAGTCAAAAGCCTTTTCCACAAAACCTCCATATAACACATTCTCGGCAAAATGTGGGCTTTTCACTAGCAGTGGTGTACCGCTATCAGAAAAATTGCAAAAGCACACAATGTGGTACTGAGAGAGTGCCTTTATTCTAATAATGGCCAAATTACAATGGCAATGCAAACAAGTCATGCCAAAAAATTGTAAACTTTTAGAACTAATTTCCACAAAAACCAAGTCAACATAACAAAGCAGACCACAGGCTATGTAGTGCCTCCTGGTCTAAATTCTCCTGGAAAAGTCAATAAACTCGCTTAATATCTTTCATAATTAATGTTATCACTTTTTTTCCGTAAACAATGCAAGATCCATATTAATGCAATGGCAAAAATATAGGACACTGGTACTTCAAATCAGTTTTGAAAAGATAAACTAGCATCCTCAGTTTCAGGCCATGAAACATACTCCCCAACACTCATTCATGCATGAATTGTGGCAGCAATGGCAGAAAGTTTGCTACTAACAGCAGCACCTGTACACTACCAGCTTTATGCTGGAAAATACGCAGTGTGCCAAGCACTTGCACACACCATCTTAAGCCAGGCTTCCTCAGTGCAACTGTGATATACAACATGCAGCTTACGTGAGCAGTTTTTCACATGCATAATGATCGACGAGTTGATGAACTGCGATCAACACAGAAGCGTTGCATTTGAAGCATTACTAAAAATTAGTCAAACTCCGCACCCAAAAGCAGTCCCCAATAAACCAATTGGACAAAGTGCATGTTGCACTGTGATTGACAAGCTCAGACGACACCCAAAGCCACGCTTATGCAAAAGCCAGAAGGCATTCTAAGCTCCTTTCCAACCCTGCAATACCACTTCACTATCCTCAAGCACAACACACATCAGGCATGCATTCCAATAAGCATAGCAGCAGACAATGCCATAGCATAATGCACTCTTTCCATAACAAGTTTTTATTACTGCAAAGCTACAAAAAAAAAAAAAAAACACGGCTGTGTAAGTGTCACAGGCCTACACCAGTTAATTCGCTGTTGCAGGTGTTCCAAAGTGTGGCCAAAGCATAGGCAGCACAACCTGAAGCCATTCCTATCTCGAAACAAAAAAAAAAAAAGAAAGGAACTTTCGCACTTGTAGAATTCCGACCACCAGAGCACTTGATGTTTTGGGCGTCTTAGAAATCAAAATATTCTCTCCTTCAAAATTACTTATGAGGAAAAAAAAAAAGGAAAAAGAAGAGGGTGCCATGCTGAAGACTTGCGTTGGCCTATGTACACAGGCGGTTGTCAGATGGGCAAGCCGCAAGAGGGACACAACGCACGGGAAGATACAAGAGGCACACACACCCTGTAGTGCATATATATTATACATCTGTACACTAAGCCAATTTGTTTTTATTCCTTCCAAATACTAGCTGGCTCTGCTCGAGGTCCAGCATTCCACCTCCCCCTCAATGCAAGTAATATAGCCAGAGCATGCGGTCCTCTCGGTACCCGCGGGTCTTTACAATCCCACCCCCCAGTTGAACTACAGCTCTCACCCAGAATATTTTATAACCTTTCTTTTCCTTGTACCCTCGCTAACTTGCATGCACGCACAAATTCTCGCCACAGAGAAAGTATCCTAAAAATAAAAGACAAACGAGAGTTGCGGCGGCTCCGTTCCTCAGTCATCCCCCTCCTGAAAAGTAAACGGTGACTAACCATACTCGGCATACAAAATTTTCTCTCGCTCCACTTTCAAACTGACTTCCAACCTTTGCATAACATTCGCACACCTTTGTTTGCTAGATCACAGGTCTTCTATGGCGAGATGGCAAGACGGTAAAAAAAAAAAAAGGAGACCCAAAGCACAAAGGCATACACACTTCTTCCTCTGTAGATGATCCGCCGCGAGTCCTTCTCTTGCACTTTCGGGGAATGGATGCACACCAGTTCCATAAAGACTTGTGCCAAAAAGAAGACGAGGGAAAGGGAGAAGAAAAAAAAAAACTCCGAAGACACCACTGAGCTCATTCCCCCCGTCCCCGCACCCCACAGGATCTGGCTTGCTTGCCGAGTCTAAGTGTTGGTCTTGTGTCCTTCCCCACCATGGGTTTCTTCTTTCTAGCACAAACCCTCAAAGTTCCTTGCTTGTTTGCAGATGCCCATCATGTTATGACAAATCTAGAAAAAAGAAAATTGCAATGAGCACTAACAATTAATGAGACTGCCACAGCAATAGAACCACAGAATCTCCAGTGTTTATGAAAAAAATCTGCCAATGTTTTTTGGTGTTTATTTTTCAAACACCGGCGTATTTCGACAAATTGTCTTGGGCAGGCAAGAAACTGTGATTATAAAAGAAAAGAGCAAAAGCAACAACAATATATTTACGACTTCCAACCATAGAAGTCAATCAAGGCAGTATTTTCTACACACTTTCAAATAAAAGTCCAAATACTTGTCAAAATTCAGGTATCGCATTTTCCGGTGTATAAGACGCACCTCCCACTTTTCGCAAGTTTCGAAGTAAAAATTAGAATATAAGATGCACCTGTGTATAAGACCATAACCTCCTCTATACGGAGAAAGCCTGGCACATCGACGACGGAGCCATAGGGCATGCGGCCGCAGGAAAAAGAGGAGGAGCGCATGGAGCGGTGACCAATATGGTAGCGCAGAGCAGAAAGGGCAGAGGTAGTGTGCGAGCGATTCGGTCATGACCGGCCGCTCCCCGAACCACGTTTGTTTTCGTGTGTTCATCACCGTCGTTTTCGTACTCCGGGAGCAACGGCTGTGGCGATTCGAAAGGGCAGGGGCAACATTGCACCATGCCGGTGGCGTCGGCGGAGTTGTCGGCGTGCCAGTGGAGTGCGTCGTTGTCAGACCATCGTATTGTGCCGCGGAAGAACCATGCAGTTATGACTAACGAAACCGACGGCCGCGACCGTCGGTTTCGTGTTTAAGGACCGTAGCGGAGGGAACGGGAAAGGGTTGATGTTGAACTTCTCTCCACGATACCGAAAAGAAAAGAGGGAAAAGAAAAAGTGTTTCTGCGTTTGGCCGCTCGCTCTTGTGTGGCGCTAGCAATCAATCTCCCCTTCGCTCCCGATTCCCCCCACCTCCTTTCCCATTTAAGGGGGCAGTCTCTTCTCGCGACGTGCCAGGACTTCCCCGTATAGAAAAGGCTATAAGACGCACCGCCGAAAATATTTGAAAAAAAAAGTGTGTCTGATACATTGGAAAATATGGTACTGAAAACTACTTAATTTTCTTCCGTTTTTTGTAGCTTTTTGCACCACATGATGACAAAACTAGAAGTGTTTTCAAGCGAATGTCTTTGCCATGAGAAAGGGAAGTTGTGCTTCATTCATTCATGAGATTCAACCAATTCATCCGTTGTTGACCAACAGCTGTCCTCAAAATGCAGCTTCCAGAAACAGCTGTCTTGGTTTGAACAGATTTCATATTTGCCACCGGCAGACATTTATGGGCGTGCTTCAGTTAAAATAAAAAAATTCTGCGGCCAATCTATAAGGGCTAGTCCTGAGGTAACAATAGAACATACACGGAAGGCCCTTCAGAATCGAGGCTGCAAAAAATGAAGCATCTTCGTGACCCTGTGGTACAAAGTTGGCTAGAAGTTGCATGTGCTTCAGGATTTGTAGACTACAGCAGAACCTCATAAATAAAAGTTGGAGGCTGCAATAAAAAAACAACATAATCCTTAAAAATGTAAGAGCTAGCAATTTATTACGTATGGACTTCGAATAAATACAGGTAGGCTTATTTTCAGAACTGCCGTTTTAAACTAGGGATCAATCTAAAATTGCAACTAAAGAAAGTGAACCTATACAACAGATCAAAATTTCTGGGCCCACAGGGCTAAGTCTAGCACTTCCCCGCGTTAGCCGCTGTTAGTAGTGCAGGGGGCGAAGAACGGAGAAGAACAATGTGAAACACGGTGAAAAGTGGTGGGGCTCAATGCGCAAGTGGGGCACCATCAAGGTTAGCCCGATCAGAAATTTTGATAAATTGTATACATACATTTTTTGGTCGCGATTATAAATCAATTTCCAAATTAAATGTTGCACTCGATGGCACAGTGCACAAATTCAAACTCTCTACCCCACGTGAAATGAAACCACAGAGAGCACGGCAGAAGTGCCGGTGCAGAAAAAGACTCAAGGATGAACAAGCTGTTGCGAAAGCCACAATCCCTTCCAAGCCTAGTTCAAAGTCACGCGTGTCTGGACAAGAACAGGCAAGAAGTGTAGCGCCGATGCACGAAGGGGTGAGAAAGAGGGGAGCAAAACGAAGAGGCCAGCAGTGGCTGAATGGGTCATGTGGTTCAGTCAGATGGATATGTTTGGGCGTAACAGCCAGGCAGCCAGGAAGGCAAATGCAACAAATAAAAAATTAGCACTCATATTCCTACGGGTGCGCCACAGGACTGGCATTTGAGAACAAAACAGCTGGAAATACATATTTCGAAATTATTTTGCAAGTTCGAGAGATAAAAAAAAAAAAAAAAAACCTTTATAGTGCCAAAAAATATTAAATAGGTAAAAAAAAAAAAAAAAAAGGAAACTTACAGCTTGGAGTGGCACCCTCAAACCGCTTCTGAATTTGGTCGTACGTAAACTTGACAAATGTGTCGTACTGCTCTGTAAGAGAAAAGAAAGAGTGATCTTTAGTAACAATGCTCGTATCAAATGTTGAATATTTAAAGGGGCACTAAAGAGGATTTTGCAATCGTCTGTTCTTGGTCCTAACTGATTCTACACGCCCCAAGCATCCTAAAAGTGAAAAAATTGCTATCACACAACGACGATTTCCTTAATAAGAACATAATGAAAGGTCGAGACACACCCCTTTCTGAGCGGATATTTTCGCTCAGGAAAGACGGGGCATAACTAGGGTTCGGGGTTTTCAGTTTTAACCGAGAAAGGTGAGTATTTGAGTGGTATTGAGCGCCAAGTGGTGTGGTGGCTTCACCGGTTGACAATGTTGAGGGGGAGTTGGGGCATGTCTTGTGGATGAAATTTGGGCTCTCCGGCGCGTCGCATTGAAATACAATTTTGATATCTGTTAATCTAAAGGCCAAATGAACGCAATTCAAGTGTTTTTCCTCAAATGTAGAAGTGTCCCATCTTCCCTTTAAGTAAAATTAAAAAGACAGCAACAGATAAAACAATTATGTGCCTAATGTACTACATTTTGGACAAGCAGGCATAGAAAGAGCACATATTTCGTCAATACATATTCACCGATAAAAAACAGTTAACTTGTATTTGTATACATATTCACCGATAAAAACCAAAAATATCATATCAAAATAACAACCTAAAAAAGTATGCCGAATTTTAGAAAAATAAAAACCGCAAACGCAGATCCCTTGGCATAACCCAGCAGCAATGTCAGTGCGGTGACACCGCTGCTGGGGTATGCCCCGCCTCCCCCAACAGTCGCCGCCATCGCGTATGCACAGAACGCTAACCACATTTTGCACCTTGTGTGCATTATTTTAGAATATGCCATTTTTTGGAACTTTCGAGTGCCTCCGAGGAAGACTGAGAGGTAAGTCATTGTTAAACTCTGAATCGTATTACCTGTCTCTTTTGGTCTCGCCGATGAAGATCGCCTAGTACGATCATGAGACGAGACAAACACGGAACTATATTACCGGCACGAAGGACTTTGACACGTCTTTTCGCGAGTATTTGATCATAGAAACTGACCTCGCTCACTCTTAGCTCGATTGCATTGAGTCTGCCGAGTTGAGAACGATGCGTGAGATACTAGGGTGCCACTAAAATAAAGAGGGTTGTAGTGTTACCATGAGCATATTGCATCAGTGGAAGGAGAGTCACCAACGATCGAGCACCTCGCGATTGTGTTTGTACAACATATTTCCGCGGTCGGTGCTTTACAAATGGCAACTAAAAATATGCGATGCTGCATTTATTTTTCAGGATCACTTCACGAATGATAAGTTTGTGCCAGTGATCTTGGCAAAGACTGGCCTCAAGAAACTCAAGCCATATGCAGATTCTTCCATTTTTTCACACCGACCTCTTCCGAATGTGCGATATTTTGCCTTGTAGCAATATTTTCTAGTCTTCATCTTTGTATGTGATTTGTCTTTTGCGATTAATAATACACCAATTATTGACAATAAAAAAAATTGCTCTTGTATTTAGAAGGCTTTGCTGAAGGATCTCTCTGCCCTCATTTTGTAACTCACGCAGTAAGGTACGCCCCCGAGTGTGCGGCAAATCTTATACGCTTTGAGAGTGAACTCAAGGGTGTACCTTGCGCGTGAGAACCTCAAAACACTAATATATGTGATAAATGAGAAACGTGCTGGCAAAGCAACCGAGCACGCGCTATTTTTCATTTACGGAGGGGGATACAAGTGAGTGTATTTGATTATTTGACGGGAAGTTTTATGCACGAGGCACGTAAACAGCAGACGTCGCATATTCCTCCGCGCGTTGTTCACAGTTCCAGGTAGTATTCGACGCTTATAAAATGTGTATGAAGTAAACCAATCTGCTGGATTGACAAAACGATCGGTGATGCTCAAAATTACCGAAAAGTCCTCTTCTACACGCTTAGTGGTGTCATTTATTTGCCTAAAGGCCCGTTCACACTCTTGCGACCGAGTACGACTGAGAGAGACGAGATCTCTTACAACTTCTTAAATGTGTCTAGAATGAGGGAACACACTGACATTGTGGCGCCATCTATGCGGTGACCCTAGAACTGCATTTCACAAAAGCGAAGGTTTTGCGGGATTTCCGAGGTCAAATGTGCGTAATACCCATAGAAAGGCTCGTTTATAGCATTGACAAAAGTTTTTCGAGCCAAAAAAGAAAGGATATTGCGCGAGAAATAAAAAAAAAAATATGCCGGACCGCCGAGTTTACACTGCTTCCCAATAGATGGCGCCAGTGTGTTCTCTGGTTTAAGAAGTTTTAAGGAACCCAGGTTTAAGAGGTCGCAAGCAGTCGCAAGAGTGTGAACGGGCCTTTACTCGAGCGATGCCGATTCTCCAAATTCACTTCGTTCAAGAAACTAAAAAGTTGTAGAAGAGCGTGCGCTAAGGATTGCGAGCCTTGCGGGCGCGTGCCCAATTCATGCTCAAAGCGACGGCACGAGCTTCCGCTAGCAACGCAGTCCTTGCCCACGAAACTCTATTTACACGCAGGGAGAGGTGCATTCTATTGTGTGCCTGCTCTCAGCTTTTGCTGCAATAAACGGGTAAACGAAATATATTTTTGCAGTGCATGCCAATGTCCCAAAATACTCGACTACATTTTTAAAATTCTTTTTAATCGTTTGTGTTTAGCGGAATTGTCGAAAGCTTGTCTTCACGCCCGAGCGATTCTAACTCTGCTTGCGCTATTATATTTGTCAATAGAGACGTCTTCCTGTGCTTTATAACTCCAATAAAGGTGCATGAACGCGAGATTCTTCGGGTTAAAAAACAACACTGTCTTCATATCCGGAAAAAAAACAACAAAGAGATCTAGTCTGCTCTATGCAATTACATGTACGGCCCGGCACCTGGTTATGCCCGGCACACAAGCGCGCGCCTTGTGGGCTCTGGTCAGACATGGCGGCGGGGGGCGTGGTGCGGACAGAGGGTGAAGAGGATTGCCATCGATGGAAAGGAGGAAAACGCAGGGAGAGGAGGAATTGCGCTACCTTTCCGTATACAGGGGCCTTAGTCGTGAGCACAAAGTCGGCGGCATCCTCGTGAGAATTTTCAATACACAGTGGTGGTCCAGCCAGCTTTGAGTTTGGAGCAATTTTCGGAGCAGAAAAAAATCTCGTTATGAAGCAGCTTTGGAGCGGCACATACGCAAGTTTGGAGCAGTTCGGTGCAGTTCCCTATTAGTGATACCGGCATGCATTCATGCGATCAGTTACATGATGCCCATTAAAAACCCAAATTTAGCGGTTATGCCGTACTATAGTTGGTGAAAGGTTAAGAATAAAGTGGAAGCTCCTCCCTCCTCTTTCCACTTTTGCAGAGCGAACGCTGGAGAGGGCCTCCTCTCCTGCGGTCTTTCCAGTGATGCCCGGCCGGGAGCTGGGCATCACTGGAAAGACCGCGGCCATCTGCGGGTCGAACAGAGCACGTCCGCGGGCCAGGGTTTCGAGACCTCTGCTCTAGAAAGAGAGGTAAATTAGAACTATACAAAGTCTTATCACGTGAAACAAGCAAATAATCAATAAATACATTCTGGGTTTTCCCTAATGTATAGACATTTTAACGAATTGTACCATCAAGGATTCAGATCATTTGACATGAAAGACAACAATTCGTAACCAAGCAGTCCCGACTGAGCATGCTAACGAAATGGGAACCATGTGCGACCACATTAGTATAAAACAGTGTCACGCTTCTGAACATGAGCATGCGGAAAAAAAAAAGAAAAAAGAATTACTTGTGCTTGCTAATCTTCAGTAGTGCGCTTCGAAATGCAACTAAAACTGTTGAAACTGCGGTGCGTTAGGAATATCGGTAAAATTGGTGTGAACCCTGTGAAACAATGCCGTGGAGCCGGAAACCTGGATTGGATTGTGATGCCCAAACCCCAGTGGATTCCCGCAGTTGCAAGGCGAAAACAAAAACTTTTCTAAAAATCAATTTGTTTGCAGATTTGTTTGCCTTGGCGCAGTTTGGCGTAATTATTCCCTTTGGGCACAGCAATGCGCAGGCAAGCGGGAATTTATCAAAATGGCACAACTGGACCACCCCTGAATACAGGACGACATTGCACTCATATGGGAGGTGCACAGCAAAAATGGTTTGGAAGACCCAGCAAAGTGGGAGATGATCGCCAGCAACTTGCTTGAGACATGCGGAAATTTCAAAATCTGCATTAAAATAAGACAAAACATTTCCTCGACTTCCAGGAGTGATATCTCGCTCTAAATCAGGACTTCTGATCTGAGAACCACTGACGTGCAGACACCGAAGTTGATTGAATGCTAGCAGGATTCGCACAGTTTTCGTCACTCCTGTCACTGTCCATCAAAGTATCATCTTATTCTGAAAAAATAGGAAAGGCTGAGGGATTCCTCGTCTCATGTGCTTGAGCATTAATGACGTTCAAAAATAAGGTTTTGTGTCTCCTCCTCGGCTAAAGCGGAACTGCGCGCCAAAGCCATGTCGTTTTAGCAAGAACGCTTACAAGTGATTGAACTTTTTTCCTTGGTTAAGTGGAGCGTTCACTTACTCTCAAACAGCAGAACGAACGAGCAAACAACACAAGGTAAATGAAGAAACAGGGGTCGTTTCTCCATCTGCAACAGAGAGCGTTAAAAAAGTGCCAAAACCGAAACACAAGTGACACTCCTGGCCGGTCTCCGCTCCATAAGAGGCGGCACGAGTGGCGCTCATTATTGGTAGGCATGGGGTTAATGTTGACGTCATGCTTTGCCGGGGGGCTAAACACCGGACAGATCGCCCTTGGCAGAAGTGCCATCTTCACCCAGTACAATGACAACGGGCTGGATGGGGGCACTTGAGGCACTGCCTTGTTTGAACTTCCCTTCCATGTACACAATATGCCTCGCAGCAGTGCTCCAGTTTTCGGCAGTGACCTTGCCAGCTTCTTTGTAAAGACTCCACACTGGCGATCTTGAAAGT